TATATACTGTATGTACACATATCAACCTGTGTCACAACCACTTGAAATGCCAGAGGACCTGCAAGATTTTGGGGGTCTTCTCGACTGGCAAGGTTAATGTGAAAAAAAAACAACATAATAATCAATCACATAGAAACCTAGACTAACATTTAGAAAGTAGTTAGGATGGGCACAGCATTGTTTTTTTTTATTGTTTAAGTACCCAGTGGAGGCAGGCTGTTCCTGTAGAAGAATGTGCTGAGGTGTGCTTAACTGTCACAACTGACACATTTTATGCCACTTTATTCTAGGATAGATAATGTATGATATTCAAAATTTGACACTTCTGACTGAAGACATATTGTTATAAAGAGGAGCTTTTATGTGCACCATTCCAAAGAAAATTGAAAATTTTAGTATAAGGGCATTAAAAATTTATAAATATATATTTAAAAGTGTAATAAAAACCATTCCCAGGTGGAATGTTCAAAACTATGTTCTTAATTTTAGAAATATGATTTATCATTAACTTTTTATAAGTATGCAGGACATCTGCCTTTTCATTTCACTGTGTTCATTTATTTTGCATATATTAGATTATATATTGCTCAGGCCATAAGTGCCTAATCATAAGTCTCTTTTAGTTGTTTGTCAAAATGCAGTGCATTTTACAAAAAGTAAGATGATAAAAAAACATGGTATTATATAAAATTCAGATCACAGTGAAAATTTACCCCAATGTTATGACATTATCTCATGTAAATGCCTTGCCATTGCCAGTTTCTGCCACCTAATGTAAGATTTTAATGTTATGGTGCTTACAAATTCTATATGATAACCCAAACTTAATTTGAAAAACCCAAACATTTTTAATGCTCCAGTAAACACAGTCATAAAGATATTTTATTGCATTTGCTTTCCTTTCTAAAGGTTTGAGCCAAAATATGATGATCAATCAATGAATTTAGCTCATTGTGCATCTGGGCACTCCTGATTCCTGGCATTAAGTCTTAATAAGAAGCATATTCTGTTTAGTGTTTGTAAATTTGCCATCTTTGCCGTCAAAATAGGTAATGAAAAGAAAGTTTTAGAAAAAAAAAACATCTCAAAATTTAGCTCCAATGCTGATTAATCTAGCTGCATAAATCTTCTTCTTGTACAAAATGAAACAGTTGGAGTGAATTTAATTACTAAGTGAAATGTGAAAAAAAAATGCAGCCTCTCTCTCTCTCCCCAGGAGAACTATAAATGATTCAAGAGCAGTATAGTAACATACATCAAGCCATGTGATATTAGGATGAGTAATAATAACACACCCCATCCACAAAACAAAGCATATTGTATGTTATTGGATCGTGAGAATGACTCTCAGGACAATAAAAGTTTTCATTGGTCCACAGAGACGGTTATGACACCATTGGCCTGTAGAATGTCCAATATCGACAGGAGTTCAACTGTGCAATCCTGATAATGGTCCAATACTGACTTCTCATCTCGCCTATACTTTATTGGCCTCCATAGGAAAGAAAATCGGATTAGCACAGGCCCATCTAATGGAAATTTGACCAGTATTTCATGGAATTAATGGATTTCTGTTAAATATCCAGGGAACTTTTGATTTCTACAGGGGAACTCAAAAATATATGGTTGATGTTTAATTCTTACTGCAGCTATTTTAAAGTGTTTTATATGAATCTGCATTAATATTAATGAGTAATATGCTGTACAGAGTCATGCCTACCAGCACATTCTGTTTTATTCAGATCTGTTCAAAAAGTCGGTTTGAAGATAGATGGTTATGTTAAAGCCAATATGTCCACAAACTTTTGAGACACTGTGTCAGTACTAGTGGAACTAGAGACTGTATATTATTGGGACAGCTCTGTTAGCTGGGAACAGTATGTTAGCACAGGAAGGCAGGGCTAACAGACATGATGCATCTCCTTTCTTGTGCAGGTAGCATGCTAGATAATTGCTCCAATTTATGCATTTAAAAAAGTATTTAGAATATATAAGGGATATGTTTTGTGGATCTTGAATGCAGTGATTTAACAACAGGGATTTTTACTGCGCAGCTGACACTGGTAGCATCCTACAGACATCTCCAGAAAAATGTGCAATTTTTTCTTTTTCTTTTTTGTGTTTGTTTGTTTGTCTGTCTGTCTGTTTGTTTGCTTCAATAATGCATGCAGGACTGGTGCTCTCAAGAATTGTGTCCATATATTGATAGAAATGATCTATGCTATTCCAGTGATGCGGCTGACCAAGCCGACCATGATGGTATCCCACCCAGTGACATGTGACCAAAGAGATCTCCCCGGCAACACGCTCAACGACATCACTGCCAAAGACCTCGCCACGGACAAAGAGACCCCTTACTTTGGCTTAGGAGAACTGTTGACTCTACCACAGAATTTTGGGTAAGTATTTTATGGTATCCCTGGTATTATTCAAAGCTATCTGATACTCATGCGGTGATAACTGAAATGGTCACATATGTAGAATATAATCCTTAATAGCATTTTCAGTATATCGTTGTATGTAATTTATGTATGTCAGTATGTTCTTATAGCAGCCTTTTAGTATTTTCTATTTCAGATTAATTGTAATTGCAATAAACTGTACTACCGTGCACTTTGTTATTATTAGGACCTTGTGCTGCAATGATATTTTATTTATTCACCTGATGGTGTGTTCTAATATTTGATACATGGCTGATTTAGTGAAAGCATACACTAAGCTGCTAACATTGTACATGAATTTATTGTTTCTATGTATTGTTTGATCACCTGTAAAAAGTATTTTAATGTTTAATCAGCATTGTTTACACTGATATTGATCATTATGCTTTTGTTAGTTTGAGAATGGATAATCTGTTGAAATAGTGGACAAAAAATGTCAGTTCCTCATTAAAAAAAAAAAAAAAGGAAAAGAAAAGAAACATATTTTCAATCAAAAAGCACTCTCCTGAAAGTCTTGAAGAGTTAGCAATGTCACTTTAGTAAAAAGTAAATAAATAAGGTAACAAACGTTGAGAAAATTCACTGAAAAGACAATAACTTAATCCTTTGTAGCAACATCTTTTTGGGTGAGACTTTCTCCAGCTACATCAGTGTCCACAATGACAGCAACCAAGTTTGCAAGGAGATTCTAGTTAAGGTAAGTGTGTGTCTCTCTCTCTCTCTCTCTCAGTTGTTGTGCTAACGTAGTGGAGTGTACACCAGCTTTTATTTTGAATAGAGTATGAAGTCATTGTCATAAGAAATCGCCAATTTTTTTTTTTTTTTTTTTTTTTTTGGTAAAAATAGTGGATCCTTTTACCCCCTTTGTTGATCCAATTTGAGAATTGGCATTGGACCTAGTTCAATTTTTGAGGCAAATGGACCTTTCTATCTCCCAAGCCCTTTGGCTATGGCCCACCAGCACTCCTAGTTTCAGAATGAGCAGGCAAGTCTCGGCAGATAGGACATCAGCCACTAAATATTGATTGCTTGAGCATACATTCTGCTTTTACCAGAATAACTTTTATTTAATAGAATTATTAGCAGAAGCTCTCAGAGCTTACTCACACAAATTGCTGCTAATGCCTTGCCGGGATTGGATCAAACTGGTGCTGTTAGACACAGAGAGTGTGAGCGGCGCTGTAATTGACAGATTCTAGCAACTTTTTTGACACTTTATCCAATTGATGACTTTTTTTGTGGCAGTAACTTTTTTTATCAAAAATAATTTTATTTATGAAACTTGATGATGATGATAATCTTATCTTTTAAAGTGAAACCCAATTTACTGTTTCATTCTTGTTTACAGTGTTTTTTAAAAAGATCTTAAAAGATCATTGTGCTGATTTGACTGCCTTTTTATTACACATTTATAATAAACCAGTGGTAGCCTTTACATTACAAAATTTTTTAAGTGATTCCATATTTAAAAACAATAAAAGAGTAGATCTTTTTTTAAATCTGGAGCCTGCATAAGTGCATGCAAAGGTTTACATTGACTATTTAAAGGACAGTAATTTTGTTGGCTAATCCACCATGAAATAAAACTTCTATCACAACAATGAGGAGCGACATACAATAAAACTCATTTCCCCTGAAAGATTACTTAATTGTGATTATATAAGTAGAAGGCCATGGATTATATTTATCTTTCAGAATGATATATACTTGAGGCAATGTATTTCCCCTGATTGTTATTTGCAATTTGCAAGCTACATATAGCAGCTATTGATGATCTTAGTCATTCTATCAGACCAAATGATCTCTATTAACAGGGTTATGCTGCCATTAAAATACTATTCCTCCTTTGGCAACTACCTCTCCAACTGTTACATGACAAAATAATGGAGTCTAGTTATTTGCTGTTACAGTGTACATCATGGTAGGAAATAAGAAAATGTGTAGAATATGGAATTCTGTGTGCAGTTTCTATGTTGGGAAATAGACCATTCCTTTGTTGAAACAAGGTGTGAAGTCAGTAGTCTGGGGAGTACTTTCTCTTTTTATATGTACTCCAGGTTTTAAGGTTCATGGCAGCCATCTTCCAATTGCTACCACAACCTTCAATATCTTTTAATAATGGATTTAAACTTAATTAGATCATTTTATCAATGCTGCAAGTCTTTGTGAACATTCACTACATATGCTTGTTGGATATTTGCCAAACACATAATTTTTAGTAACAAGTCTTCTCTTTTAGTGAAATTTTATAATTCAAGTCAGACTCATGTTTGTAGACATAACCTTTTCCTTGAACTTAGACCCCATTCCCACAGATTTTAGATCGATCTATCCCTGTGAGGAGTCTCACTAGATTACTTTCAGCTTAGCCGGCTTAAGCGTTTGTCCCGCCTACTAAAAGCTGTAAGGGGGAAATTAACTACTGTGCGCGCTTGGCTTACATCAATTTAGCATGAACCCCCAGGGAGTTAGGTCGATATAGATGGATCGATCTAAATCTATGGGAATGCACTCTTAGCATATAAAAAACATAAGTATTTTGGATGTGTTTCTCCACAGGCTGACCTCCAGACCAGTTCCCAGAGGCTGTCATTGTCCAGTGCCCACTCTGAGGCTGTGTCAGAGCTCCAGCCAGAGTGCAGCATAGATGACATCATCCACCATGAAGTCAAAGAGCTAGGAACACATATGTGAGTCTGTGCATGTGGGGAACTTACACTTGACTATAACACTTTTACTTGAAAGTATTCATACACAGACTATAGTATAGTAGTATACCCATTACTTTTATGATAAAATGGGAGGATTATAATGAATTAAAGCTAAACTACAACACTCTTACCCAAAAGTATTCACCTACATACTAAAAAAAGGAAATGGTCATACTTCTATACTTAAAGATAAAATGGGTGCAATATATTTTGGGATAACAGTTGATTATCTTGCAAATTAAATTTCTATTTAGGACAATTTTGAAAACCAGGCTTCTTACACTTGAGTTTTGTGCATATTAATATCAGTAAAGTAAGATTGGGTTATCCAATTATAATTATGCTTTAAATCTTGCAAACAGGATTTATCGAAAATAACTGGAAAGATTGATATTATATCATTTTTCTCTGTACACTTTTAGCCTAGTTTGTGCTGTCAGTTACACCACACAGAGTGGAGAGAAGCTTTATTTTAGGAAATTTTTCAAGTTCCAGGTAAGATTTAAAAAAAAACTCTTAAAATTTGTAGGAGTGTGCTTAGTTAATATAGTATTTCCTAATCAAAGTACAATGCAAAAATACTGAGACAGATATTTAATGAAAATAAATCTGAATACAATAGTAATTTGTTCTTCTAATCCTGTTGCCATAAAGTATATTATAGTAGTGTTTTCTTTTTGACAAAGGCAGGGAAAAATCACACATGCCCCATAAAAAATAACTTTATATTTGACAGGTCCTGAAGCCACTAGATGTCAAGACAAAGTTTTACAATTCAGAGGTAAGTTTCAATTGACAAGCAATTTTATGCTTATGTTAGGCATGTTTATTGGTTGAAGTGAAATTTTGTTACAAATTTTGTATTTCAGTTTGCGTACTAGTTTGTTATCATTTTCTTTGTGATAAATTTATTTTGACAATTTCCAAGAACATGCCTGAAGTCTGGATCATGTCTGGTTATATCTCAGATCCAGTTGTGATTATAAGACTGTATTGTTAAGAATTTCAGATATTGATTTTTAGTAATTTCTTTTTGGCTGCTGCCTTTTTTTTTACTTGCTCATGACTTTGAAGTAGAGAGCTGTATGCATTAAAGCTGTTTTAGTTGCAAGAGCCCAGAATCTTGGATTTAACTCTGCTGTAAGGTTCATTTACCTTGTAAGCAGAAGGAAAAATCTATATTGATTTTTGTTTGTGGAATGACTGTTCCAACTCTGCAGTTTATCAATTCCAAATGCTTAAGTGCATTTAAACACTGTAGAAGTTAAAGTAGTAGTTCTTAAAACTTAGTGGCATGTGCCTGCTGAGCTTCAGAAGTAAAATCGACGACTTTGTTATTTATAGATCTACATTATCATATAGATTGCATTTGCATTGAGTTTTTTGTTTTCTTTTTACTGCATGTTTTCAAGGATTATGTTGTAAGTTTGCATTTTTGTGATGTCACTGTTATATTTTGTCTGCTTTCTTAATGATTATGTAAATGATACCTGTATGAAAGTCATGTCTGTTTTTTCACAGAAACTGTTATTAAAATGTACTTTGATCAATCAAAATCATGCTTTTGCTTCTCCTTGCAGGAGGTAACTATTGTTAACTGTACAAGTTATAGAGTTACATATTTGTGTGTCATTTGTTCTACAATAACCACTCTTTTCTTCACTGCATGTGGTGTGAGGTTTATATTAGGTGGTGGGGCAGTTGTTTCTCTTACACTATATCAGTAGAATCTGTCAATTTAACCATGATCATATTATCTGGTTTCCCACTTTACCACTATAATGGTATGCAATCAAGGTCAAGAAATTATTATGGCATTTTTGTCATATTTCTTTGGCAAAGGTTCTTGCTTTCACACTGATTTATCTTCCAAATATCTGTATATTTTCTTGCTTTTCTGTATTCTTTATATTAATATATGTGGCTGTGTTTCTGTTTTGTGCTCTTTGTACTTGATGATTTTGATTATATACTATGCTGACTAAAACTCTGAAATAATCTTTTCATTGATGTAACTTTTAATTTTGATGCATGTTTTTCAGTTTTTAAAAGTTGAATAAATTAGTAATCTGTGGCAGCTGCTTTACAGATATATTGAAATGGGATTTCCACACTGAAACCTCCATCTCATATANTATCAAAAGTGTCGTTTTTTTTTCTATCTCCCAAACCCTTTGGTTATGGCCCACAAACACTCATAGTTTCAGAATGAGCTGGCAAGCCTTGGTAGATAGGACCTTGACATCAGCCACTAAATATTGATTGCTTGAGCATACATTCTGCTTTTACCAGAATAACTTTTATTTAATAGAATTATTAGCAGAAGCTCTCAGAGCTTACTCACACAAATTGCTGCTAATGCCTTGCTTGGATTGGATCAAACTGGTGCTGTTAGACACCGAGAGTGTGAGCGGCGCTGTAATTGACAGATTCTAGCAACTTTTTTGACACTTTATCCAATTGATGACTTCTTTTTTGAGGCAGTAACTTTTTTTTTTTATCAGAAGTAATTTTATTTATGAAACTTGATGATGATGATGATATTCTTATCTTTTAAAGTGAAACCCAATTTACTGTTTTATTCCTGTTCACAGTGTTTTAGGGTAAAAGGCCATGTTGATTTGACTGCATATAACACATTTATAATCAACCAGTGGTAGCCTTTACATTACAAAATCTTAAAAATAAAATGATTCCATATTTAAAAACAATAAAAGAGTAGATCTCCATTTCAAATCTGGAGCTTGCATAAGTGCATGCAAAGGTTTACGTTGACTATTTTGATAAAAAAGGACAGTAATTTTGTTGGCTAATCCACCATGAAATAAAACTTCTATCACAACAATGAGGAGCGACATACAATAAAACTCATTTCCCCTGAAAGATTACTTAATTGTGATTATACAAGTAGAAGGCCATGGATTATATTTATCTTTCAGAATGATATATACTTGAGGCTATGTATTTCCCCTGATTGTTATTTGCAATTTGCAAGCTACATATAGCAGCTATTGATGATCTTAGTCATTCTATGAGACCAAATGATCTCTATTAACAGGGTTATGCTGCCATTAAAATACTATTCCTCTTTTGGCAACTACCTCTCCAACTGTTACATGACAAAATAATGGAGTCTAGTTATTTGCTGTTACAGTGTACATCATGGTAGGAAATAAGAAAATGTGTAGAATATGGAGTTCTGTGTGCAGTTTCTACGTTGGGATATAGACCATTCCTTAGTTGAAACAAGGTGTGAAGTCAGTAGTCTGGGGAATACTTTTTTCTTTTTTTTATGTGCTCCAGTTTTTAAGGTTCACAGCAGCCATCTTCCAATCCCTACCACAACCTTCAATATATTTTAATAATGCATATAAACCAAATTAGATCATTTTATCAATGCTGCAAGTCTTTGTAAACATTGACTACATATGCTTGTTGGATATTTGCCAAAAACAAATTTTAGTAATAAATTTTCTCTTTTAATGAAATTTTATAGTTTGAGTCACATGTTTAGACATTTTTATCTTTTGCTTGTTGGACTTGGTATATAAAAACATAAGTATTTTGGATGTGTTTCTCCGCAGGCTGACCTCCAGACCAGTTCCCAGAGGCTGTCATTGTCCAGTGCCCACTCTGAGGCTGTGTCAGAGCTCCAGCCAGAGTGCAGCATAGATGACATCATCCACCATGAAGTCAAAGAGTTAGGAACACACATGTGAGTCTGTGCATGTGGGGAACTTACACTTGACTATAACACTTTTGCTTGAAAGTATTCACACACGAAATATAGTATAGTAGTATACCTCCATACTTTTAAGATAAAATAGGAGGATTATAGTGAATTAAAGCTAAACTACAACACACTTACCCGAAAGTACTCACCTACATACTAAAAAAAAAAAAAGTAAATGGTCATACTTCTATACCTAAGGATAAAATGGGCGCAATATATTTTGGGATATCAGTTAATTTAATTTCTATTTAGGAAAATTTTTGAAAACCAGACTTCTTACACTTTCAGTTTTCTTCATACTGCCCACATTTGATAAATATATTAAGGACCGTAATATCAGTATCAAATTATAATTATGCTTTAAATCTTGCAAACAGGATTTGCAATTTTATCAAAAATAACCGGAAAGATTGATATTATATCATTTATCTCTGTACACTTTTAGCCTTGTTTGTGCTGTCAGTTACACCACACAGAGTGGAGAGAAGCTTTATTTTAGGAAATTTTTCAAGTTCCAGGTAAGATAAAAAAAAAACTCTTAACATTTGTAGGAGGATGCTTAGTTAATACTGCAACAGTATTTTCTAATCAAAGTACAATGCAAAAATATTGAGACAGATATTTAATGAAAATAAATCTGAATACAAAAGACATTTATTCTTCTAATTCTGTTGCCATAAAGTATATTATAGTAGTGTTTTCTTTTTGACAAAGACAGGGAAAAAATCACACATGCCCCATAAAAAATAACCAACTTTATATTTGACAGGTCCTGAAGCCACTAGATGTCAAGACAAAGTTTTACAATTCAGAGGTAAGTTTCAATTGACAAGCAATTTTATGCTTATATTAGGCATGTTTATTGGTTGAAGTGAAATTTTGTTACAAATTTTGTATTTCAGTTTGCGTACTAGTTTGTTATCATTTTCTTTGTGATAAATTTATTTTGACAATTTCCAAGAAATACCTGAAGTCTGGATCATGTCTGGTTACATCTCAGATCCAGTTGTGATTATAAGACTGTATTGTTAAGAATTTCAGATATTGATTTTTAGTAATTCCTTTTTGGCTGCTGCCTTTTTTTTTTTTTACTTGCTCATGACTTTGAAGTAGAGAGCTGTATGCATTAAAGCTGTTTTAGTTGCAAGAGCCCAGAATCTTGGATTTAACTCTGCTGTAAGGTTCATTTACCTTGTAAGCAGAAGGAAAATCTATATTGATTTTTGTTTGTGGAATGACTGTTCAAACTCTGCAGTTTATCAATGCCAAATGCTTAAGTGCATTTAAACACTGTAGAAGTTAAAGTAGTAGTTCTTAAAACTTAGTGGCATGTGCCTGCTGAGCTTCAGAAGTAAAATCGACGACTTTGTTATTTATACATTATCATATAGATTGCATTTGCATTGAGTTTTTTATTTTCTTTTTACTGCATGTTTTCAAGGATTATGTTGTAAGTTTGCATTTTTGTGATGTCACTGTTATATTTTGTCTGCTTTCTTAATGATCTTGTAAATGATACCTGTATGAAAGTCATGTCTGTTTTTTCACAAAAACTGTTATTAAAATGTACTTTGATCAATCAAAATCATGCTTTTGCTTCTCCTTGCAGGAGGTAACTATTGTTAACTGTACAAGTTATAGAGTTACATATTTGTGTGTCATTTGTTCTACAATAACCACTCTTTTCTTCACTGCATGTGGTGTGAGGTTTATATTAGGTGGTGGGGCAGTTGTTTCTCTTACACTATATCAGTAGAATCTGTCAATTTAACCATGATCACATTATCTGGTTTCCCACTTTACCACTATAATGGTATGCAATCAAGGTCAAGAAATTATTATGGCATTTTTGTTATATTTCTTTGGCAAAGGTTCTTGCTTTCAGACTGATTTATCTTCCAAATATCTGTATATTTTCTTGCTTTTCTGTATTCTTTATATTAATTTATGTGGCTGTGTTTCTGTTTTGTGCTCTTTGTACTTGATGATTCTGATTATATACTATGCTGACTAAAACTCTGAAATAATCTTTTCATTGATGTAACTTTTAATTTTGATGCATGTTTTTCAGTTTTTAAAAGTGAATAAATTAGTAATCTGTGGCAGCTGCTTTACAGATATATTGAAGTGGGAATTCCACACTGAAACCTCCATCTCATATTTAACAGATCTGGAGTGAAGTGTGTGTTTAACTAAACTAACAAGTATACCTTACTGACCATCTATTAAGAGTAAACTGTATCCACCCACTCCCCCCCCCACACACACACACACACACCATCCCCCCCCCCCCATTCCCATGACTGTTAAAGGGATTTTAGTTAATAAAAATAACCCAAATTGATTGCATTAAACTAAAATGTATATTAAATTGTATGTATTCATTATTATATATATTTCATATTTAAGTAACTATTTGATAATTATTATTTGAACAAAACGTAAAAGTTTTCACATAAGGTTTTTATCTATATTCAGTTTTATCTATATTCATACTTTGACATTGAAAGTGTTTATTATATTAAAGGAAAAGGACCTTTAGAAATTAATTTTTAGATGATTATTTAGTTAAAATCTTTTTGGCAGTTTCTTGTATAAGATGGTGAATAAGACCTTAGGTACACATACCAAGCATTATATACAAAATGTGGGATATTTGTGCATGTACCGGGTATGTATGTTTTTTTAAAAGGAGAGAAAAAGATGAAAGAGAAAGTAATAGAGAGAGGAATATTCTTTTCAGTAGTTTTTCACATTTCCCTTTTTAGTCTGATGAGGTATTTTTGGAGGCACAAATTCAGAACATCACCCCAGGCCCTATCTATGTGGAGAGTATCACTCTGGACCCCTCCGTGTATTACACTGCTGTGGAGCTCAATAGTTGTGGAGGGAAAAACAGGCAAGTATAGGAGAAAGAGCTGGAGAAAGATAGATAATCAGGTCTAGGCTAGTAGCAAGCAATTTAAACAGGGTTCTTTTTCTGAAAGTGGAACTTTTTACCCCCTTAGATGACCCAAGTTTAAAAATGGCATAGAACTTGGTTCAAAAGTTTTGGGCCTTAAGGGTGGTTCTTCCCTGTCTACAAGCTTTAACTCAAAGGTTTAGATTTGTAGAAAGCCAAAAATCTGCAATGTATCAGCAATGCCACTTGTGTCCCAGCAGACTTCAAGTTCAAAGCATTAATGATGCTTGATATTTCTTGTGGAAAGTTAAAGTAATTTCATGCCATGGGTTTGGCTTCAGGCAGCTAGACCCTATTGGCAACCCAGACTCATTCATCAGTGTGAAATGACTGGGCTTAGACTGCCAGAATCAATGAAAAACTAACCAGAAGGTTAATGGTGCTCCTCATAGACGCGCACTTTAAATGCCCTGATAACAGATGTCAATACACATGGCTGACAATGAGGAAGATTATATTTCTTCAGTAATTTGATTGATTTTCAAGTACCCAAAATTATTTTTCTAAGGCAGAGCTAAACAGAATTACTGCAAGTTGCCAAAACTGAAATTTCACATTCTACAATATGTTGTGCTAAGCACAACATATTGATATTACCTTGTCTTGTTATTCCTTTCACTAAAACATATTTAGCATTTAAAGATATATATATATATAGTGAGCAAAAATGTCCTGTAAGTTATACAAATTATTAGTAATAATTTCTTAAACAACATGAGGAGAAAAAGGCAACCCAGATTAATTTCTTGTGTAGCAGAAAAAGGCTTTAAAACTGCACCTTCTTCAAATTTGTGATTGTAAATTTGACCAACTTATTTTTCCTCTAGATTATAAGCACAGAGAGTAAGCAGGAAAAAAACTGTGCAAATATCATTTCTTAGGAATTAAGGAAACTAAATAGTGGTGTTTCTTAGAGTTATAATATTTGAAACTATATGGTGGTACCCTGTTCGGGTTTAGTGGCAATGATTTTACATAAGTACTCACATATAAGTGAGATTTTGTGTTGTTAAAGGAACTGTTACTTATGTGTACAGGTTACAAGGCTTGTTAAAACATGCACCTTTAACTAATGAATAAACTTCAGATCATTTTATTGTTAACCTGAGTTTATATTTAAAATAAAAAGCTGCTCACTATAGATCTCTCCATTTTCAGCAATGAGCCAGTGTTTGGTAGTGTGAACTACATCAACCCCCTGGACTCTAGACAGTATCTGTACTGCCTGACCCCCAAGACAGAGATGTACTCAGAGAACAAAGTGATCAAGGGGGTGACCACCATAGGAAAGCTGGACATAGTGTGGAGAACCAACCTAGGAGAAGTGGGCAGACTGCAGACCAGTCAGCTACAGAGGGTGGTGAGTGCTGCTGTGTTGTATTCAATATGAATGTCAGGGCTCATTCCCAATGAAATTGTCGTTCCATGTAGATCAATCCAGGTACATGGGGATTCTCACTAAATGCAATCAGATTAACAGATTAACATGCCTCCTTCTGTTGATTTGTTAAACTGATTGCATTCAGCAAGTCCCCACGGAGTTGGATTGATCTGCTAGAATTATAATTCATTTGGAATGAGCCCTAAGCTATATCTTCTCCATATTCGACAGTACGGGCCTCATTAATGAAATCAATGACAATCTCAATATATAGGTTGATTGATATTTATATGATTGTTTTAAGAGCTCAATGTGACAGGGAACATTGACTTTGTATTTGATCTATTTTTTTCTGGCATCCACAAAATCATTTATCTTCCTCAACTAATCTTTCCCATTTAGTATGTCATTATTTTTATTGAATTTCATTCATTCTCTGTCAGATTTTTATGTTATTGTCTCTGAATGTGATTAAAAGCAGTAAATTTCTGTCAATACAGAGGACTCCACATTACTTGTCACCTTCTAAACAAATGATCTTTTTTCTCAAGCACTTTATTTTTTGTATTAGCTTCAGTGTTATTGATATGAAAATAGTAAGTCTGCTATCTTTTGCTCTGTACATCATTTGAACATTTGGTAGACATACAGGAAATGATGTACCTTACAAATTAAGGAATGAAAGATTGAATCACTGTCATACACTGGATACTACTGTACAGGTGGTATGAGCTCAGATATTTGGTGTATCTCCCTTTCAAGGAACCTATGTATGACACGCATCATCATGTATAACAGACTGCAAGCTTACACCACCTGCACATCATTATCTAGTATGTGATATCATTTTCCACTCCTTAATTTGAGTAAAACTACAACTGGATAAATCAAAATATACACAATGAAACTGACAAGTTTTCATTTCCCTGCAGGCCCCTGGCTATGGAGACATCAGGTTGTCGGTACAAGCCATCCCAGATGCTGTAGAGATAGAAAAACCTTTCAGTGTCACTTGTAGGATAACAAACTGCTGGTGAGGATAAGATACACATTTATTTTCATCTTATTTCTTATAATTTCCTATCACATACTTATAGTTACCTCAAACATGTACTTTCTTATTGAAATAACAGTAAGGATGTACCAGTATTGCCCTCATTCATTATTTCTTTAAAAGTATATTTTTTTCTTATTCAAAATCAAAACCTTTCCACGTATAGCACACCATTCCTCAAATTAACTCTCATGTTTCATTATATGGACTTTCATGTTATATGCTTCTGTTTCTTATATTTTTTCCCAGTGAGCGAGAGATGGACCTACTGTTAGTGCTCCAGAACACCAGCAAAGTAGGTTTGTTATGGTGTGGAATATCAGGCAAACAGTTAGGAAAACTTCCCCCCGGCAGCAGTCTAGACCTACCACTCACTATTATCCCAATCAGTCCTGGATTACAGGTGAAACACTTATTTAATATTTAAAATGCATTCAGCTGTTAAAAAATTTACTCTCTTGCTATTTTCATTTTATCTTTTTATTATTATTATTATTATTATTATTTTTTTTTTTTTTGTCAAAAATAGGAGTTCATAATGATTTAGACAATCATTGTACTCTTTATCACCACTATCCTCGAGTCATTTTCACCACGCCTCTTTTTGTCAAAAATTGACCTACATAATGTTAAGTTAATTTATAAGTAGGTTCATGGGCATTTAGGTCATATATATTTGAATTAATATCTAATGACATTTTCTTTTTGTTTCAGACCATTTCTGGAGTTCGCTTGACAGATTCTTTCTTAAAAAGAACTTATGAACTGGATGAAATAGCCCAAATATTTGTATATAATCCAGAAATAGAGTAAAAACTACAGCTCTATGAAAATGCATCATCCTTTTTAAGTGCATAGTGAAAAACTGTTTGATGGTTAATGACAACTCTTCATCCAGATGATTTTGTTTTTATCAACAGAAACGTTGCCTAAAAACATGCTTAAAAATTCCATTTTGTCTTTACGTGGCTTGCTGGAAAGCTCTTGTCATGTACTTGTTCATGTCATTATTAATACAGAATGAGCAAATTATTCATTTGTTTTGCCTATGGCAAGTAATGAATTTTTTTAGAAAAGAGCCAACATGATTCATTTGAATGGATTACTTGTCAGCATAGATATGTGGTGCTCATCTTTCATTGATTGTTAATAAGTGCAATTATATTGTAAATAAATGTAAAGTAACATATGGTGAATATATATATATATAATGATGATGTTTTTGAATGTATCCTTTCCCAAAATGGATCAAAATTTCCAATACATATATAAATATTTATTGATAATGATTTGAAGTGTGCTCCCTCAGCTGTAGGTTACTTGGGATGCCTAAAAGAAAATTCAATCCAGCACGAGGATAGGATAGGATCTGTGATCAATTTATTACTAATTTATCAACACTTGACAGGAACAGTGTAATAGCATCACAAAATATAATCTTTTGCAATGATTCTAAAAAGCATTATGTACCATTCATTCATCATAATCTTTTCATATAGCTTTTGAGGTTGGTAACATCAAACTTGCATAAAACATACACCTCTACAGGTATACCTGTTTTTTTGCTCATAAAGGAAACAAACGGCCAGCTGTTAGAATCTTCTGTTTTCTATCAGTTAAAAATTCCAAGCACCATGCATGACAATGCTCCATGTTCTACCAACAGTTTAACCAAGCCTTTTCATTCTAAATTTGTTCACAGACTGGCACAAAACGTACAACAACAAAGTAAAATGAAAACTAACAGTGCTGCCATCTTTAGGTAGTTTATGTTTGCTGGATGCTAACAAATTGAAATGACCAGCACAAAGGGGCAGTGTGCAGGATTTTTATTGTCTTAGATCACATCTTTCTTAAAAATCTTGGTACAAAGGCGCATTTTGTCCTTTTAAACAATGATACGACTGTCCCCTATTATGCGCAGTGCCAATGTAAGGAATGCCGGCAACTGCATGTATATTTTATCTTGATTCAGTGATGGTCAGTAATCACAGTGATCTGTTCAAGACCTTGGGGGGGGGGGGGGGGGGGGATATTTTTACACCAAAACCCTGCATACAGTCCATTTAATTTTGTACATAAATGAGTGAAAAATGCTTTCTTTGAAATAAAAGAAGAGGCTTACAACATGTCACAACTAACAAAGAGTATAAATGCAAGAACGTGTAAACATTCCCACTGTCATGAAGTAGTACATCAACAGCAGTGAAGCACCATCCTTTGGTATAAAATTTAAAGAACTTTTGCGACAAAGAGAGCAAACAGCCATGTTAAACTAGACGGATATATGCGTGTAGCCAATCTGCAGAATAAATTATCATTTCAAGTTTTGTGGTCTTCATAAGACAAGTAAACACTTAAAATGCCAGTCCTTTTTTCCTTCAATAAGCTATAAGTTGCTAATTTCACTTCTTGAATGCACAGAGTATAATTCTAACATGAAATGTAATGGTTTGGAAAGTCCACTGTCCCACACCTTCTCTGGCCTCTGACCCTGGTGGATCAGGACTGAATACTGCTGTACTAGATCATGAGCTCCCTGGAGGATCTGAAAAAAATTATGAAAAACTCATTTTAATGCTGCGTTTTTAGATTATGTGGATAAAAAATGAAAAATATATAAAGATCATGAACTTTCTGGAGGATCTGAAATAATAAGGATAAACTTAGTTCAATGTAATTTAACTAGCTGCTTGTTTAGATGCTGTGGATAAAAAAATGTAAAAGAAAAGTAAAACATCTGTATTCTTATGGGAGAGGGAAGAACAAAATACATCTACAATCTACTAAATCCAGTGTTTGATAATAGGCCTTAACCCAGTTTGGAGGCAGACAACTTCAAATCCACAAAAATTAAAGTAACTAACCTGGATTGTCTGGGTTTGTATCATTCTGCGGCTGGCCCTGTGGCGCCCCCTGTGTCTGTCTGCGCAGCATTTCCACTAATTCAGGATTGCTACTCTGCATCTGCTGGGCAAGTGTCTGGCCACTGTAAACATCAGTTTAATATGTGACCACAGGGACTACATAAGACCAAAGGAACCATACACTGAACACAGATTTTTTTTTACTCAAATAAAGCCCCCCCTTCCCTGTCCCCAGAGGTAGTGGCCATTGTATATAGACTATGAACAGGCATATGATTAAAATATCTTTAACTTTTAAACTAAATTTGTAGCATTTAAGCATTGTTATTATAAAGAATTTCACATCATATACTAGTACATGCAAGGTGCATTGAAATGCATTATAATGCACTTTATAAGAATAAACATTACTATTGTTAATTCATACCCCAGTTAGTTTCATGTAAATAAAATGTAAAATACAAGGGTAAAATACACACGCTGCCAGTAGATTGCTGATCCCCTCTGGACCTGCCTCCTGTCCCTGGACGCCAGATAAAATGTTGGCCATCCTGAAATATGCCAACAAACACAACTAAGACTGGTGTCTGAGAAAACAAGACAACGTCTGGCTGCTATACTGGCAGGATGCAGATAAGGCATTCATCAGCCAATACTTGTGCATTTTACCCATGATAAGCAGTTTCACATAATCACCATTTTTTCCAATAATTATGGACAACCCCTATGTGCCAAACTTAGCAAGCAGTGGAGTTTTGTTCTGCATCCTGTGTGACTTAATTTAGTTGAACGAAGGCCACACACTGCCACTGACTAAGGAAGTGATTAGGACATATTATTGCTTTTAAGCAAAACCATATGTCTACTGCAGAACATCCTTTTACAATACTTACATTTGTTGCATTTGTGGATTGGACATCATCTGTGATGCCTGAAATAAAATAAATTGTTTCTATTACCATATGTAGAAGTATATTAATAAAGCCCGAAGGAAGAGTAATTATGAGTAATTACTTGCTTAAGAATGATATATTTCATGTTTATTTGAAAAATGACAGCCTATTATGTCAAACTTAGAAGCAAATTATCAAGAACGTTTATATTACCATATTCATGAGGGCTGGGTTATTTAGCATTGACGTAAAATCTAATCCGCCCAAGTTGAAACCAGCAGGACCCTGAAAAGAAAAAAAAATCAAATCAGAAACTTGAAAGAAAACCTGCCAAGACAGGTAACAATGAATTTTGTAAACCAAGCCTATGTGCACCAAATTGAAGGGAATTTTTGCTGAATACAATCAGATAAACAGACTACCACACCTCTTCAACGTACTTGTATATAAACACCAGGCCAGCTTTTTTGATTCTACTCAACACCAGGAGACGGCATATTTGTCTGTTATTCTGATTGCATTCAGCGAAAGTTCTCTAGAATAAGTGCACATCAACAGGCCAACAAAATTTATTGTGAACGGCCCCTTTGTCAGACAACACAAGGCTATAAACTGAAAACACATTATTACAAGAATGATCACTCGTATTTTACATAAAATCAAAATAATCACTGGCCAAATCAGTAAGACATGCCAAAAAAAAAAAAAAAAAAAAAAACTTGCCCTCTGCTGTTGCCTTTCCCTTAAGTTCTGTTCTGCTATATCTAGATTGTTCTGATAACTTTGGTTAGACGGATCAAACTCCACTGCTTTTCTGTAACATTCTACAGCTTCAGTATGCTCCTCTAGTGTAGAGTGGGCTAGCCTGGAAAAAATGTAAATCTACACTTATAATGTATCACCTAAAACAAAACTATTTAATACATATTAAAACAACTGCTTACTCAATTTTTTTCAATTGAAATTTGGCATTATCACTTTTTGCAAAGCAAAAATCACATACCCCTTTCTTCCATATGCTTTGCTGTAATGAGGGTCTATTTTTAAGGCAATATTACAATCTTCTATAGCTTTTCTATGTTCATTCAATTTGCTGTAAGCTGCAGCCCTGAAAAAAGTAAAAATATGTTATTTTGATGCTGATTTATTATTTATTGTAGACATTCTCTTATTTTAATGTACAGGTCAATGTTTTCAACTTGAAAATCCATAAATAAAGCCTACCTATTACAATAATACACAGCATTCCTTCCATCTATCTGAATAGCTTGAGTATAGAACTCCATAGCTTCCTTGAACCTTTCACTTTTCATTAAATCATTACCTAAAATGACAGGTACAATAATAACACAAACCTGTAAATTGCCTGTTGGAGATAAAATATCTTGATCTAATTCTTGGAAGAATAATTTGTCTGGTGATACATACATATTATATATTTGTTATTTTTATCATATCAGAAAAATACAGAATGCTTACTCTTTATATTTCATTTTCAAATGAACCATCTTTGTCAGCTTCCTCCATGATAATAAGAAACCTTTGAATTATAACAACTGCACTAATTGATCAAAAGATGAACACTGACAAAGTCAGTGGAAATTTTGAAAAGAGAAAGAAAGGGAAAGCAAAATGTAAATATTCTGACTAGTAATTATCTGTGATTGATCTATAGTAATTCATCATCAACATTATATATTTTTAATTGTTTGTAAGTTTATTTGTAAGTCTAAGTTTAGTCTATTCAATTGGGGCAGTTAAAAATGTTTCATTTATGAACATCATTGCATAAGAAATCAAAGTACTAGCACAATAAGGATAAGACTATAAATATTCATAATCTTTAGTTATGAAAAGAAACAAGTAAAATAATAAAACAAATGTACACTATAGTGTAGAACAGTTTTATTAGCTATGTTATTGTAGTAGACTTGTGAAGATTCTTTTGTCTATAGTCACAACCTATCACAACCTCATTCCCTGATGAAGTCTGACTGCAAGCAGATGAAATATTGGCTGGTAAGACCAGACAAATATAAGTAGCTATAGACAAAAGAATCTTCACAAATCTAAATGTACACTATATTTGTACCTCTAGCTTTTAACTCCTCTGCTCTCTTTTTGTCTTCTTGTGATAGAGAGGCCTCCGGTGGGAGAACTGTGACCGGCTCTGCAGCACTAGGTACCTTCAGATGAAACAAATTATTAAACGTTTCCTTCAAGAAATGGTATCAGACAGTACTTTCAGTGCTTTGATGTTTTGTGCTATCATGTTCTGTCTGTGAAAATTTTCAACCTCCATTCATGAAAATCTATCAAAACCTTATGGTAACACAAAGCCACTGTTAGTTTGAGTAATTTGTGAACAAAATAAGCACCATAACCATTCAATATCTCTATAAATTTGAAAAAAAAAATTCAGAATCAAAGTGGAAGTGGTTTACTTTGAAAATATACCTGTTCTACAGCCAGATACTCCTGAAAGATCTGTCTTAGTGGTTTAGGAACACGTAAAGCTTCAGCTGCTGCTGCATCTTCATGATTTATATGATATGCCTGCTCCAAACACTGTCTTGCAACTGGAAAACATTAATGTCAAATTTAACTGTCAATGAATAAAATTGTCTACCACCAAAATCATAAACTTAAGAACAAGTTAATTCTTTATTACAGTTGAATACGTGACAAATATTGGACAAATATCTGATTATTTCTAAAGCAACTTATATTTATCAGCAATAATAGCTTGGACTAACAAAAGAAGGACATGATACATAACAATTAATACTCTAATTAAATTGTATTCCGAGAGGAAAAATTATAATGAAAATGTTACTACATGATTGAATGATGTGGAAAGAAAATGTTGGAAACCAACCTTCTAGACTTTCTGCTTCTTCTACTGAAACTTCTCCACTAGAAATCTGTTCTCCTATATATTCTATGATAGAATATGCTAGTCTATGGTTAGCAGCCATTTCTGAAAAAAAAAATTGTCTAAAAGTAACCAATTTGCTATTACTGGTACAAGCCAATTTGGATGAAATTCAGTACCTTAAACCTGACAAAGGTCAACTAGAAAAAGTTCGTCATGGTGTGAAGATGTCAGACAAAGACTTTTATAGCATGGCTTAGAAGACATGCACACATGGACAGACTTTACGAAAGGCCAAAAAATCTGTCAGACATTTGGTCTGACAAGCTTGAAAATTCTGTCAGACCGAAACAAAATCTGTCAGACCGAAGTAAAATAATAGAAATGTGAACCATTATTCATGTTTTCATGTGTATTTTCTAACGTTTTAAATCACTGACATTAATTCAAATATTAAATTTTTGATANTGTACACTATAGTGTAGAACAGTTTTATTAGCTATGTTATTGTAGTAGACTTGTGAAGATTCTTTTGTCTATAGTCACAACCTATCACAACCTCATTCCCTGATGAAGTCTGACTGCAAGCAGATGAAATAATGGCTGGTAAGACCAGACAAATATAAGTAGCTATAGACAAAAGAATCTTCACAAATCTAAATGTACACTATATTTGTACCTCTAGCTTTTAACTCCTCTGCTCTCTTTTTGTCTTCTTGTGATAGAGAGGCCTCCGGTGGGAGAACTGTGACCGGCTCTGCAGCACTAGGTACCTTCAGATGAAACAAATTATTAAACGTTTCCTTCAAGAAATGGTATCAGACAGTACTTTCAGTGCTTTGATGTTTTGTGCTATCATGTTCTGTCTGTGAAAATTTTCAACCTCCATTCATGAAAATCTATCAAAACCTTATGGTAACACAAAGCCACTGTTAGTTTGAGTAATTTGTGAACAAAATAAGCACCATAACCATTCAATATCTCTATAAATTTGAAAAAAAAAAAATTCAGAATCAAAGTGGAAGTGGTTTACTTTGAAAATATACCTGTTCTACAGCCAGATACTCCTGAAAGATCTGTCTTAGTGGTTTAGGAACACGTAAAGCTTCAGCTGCTGCTGCATCTTCATGATTTATATGATATGCCTGCTCCAAACACTGTCTTGCAACTGGAAAACATTAATGTCAAATTTAACTGTCAATGAATAAAATTGTCTACCACCAAAATCATAAACTTAAGAACAAGTTAATTCTTTATTACAGTTGAATACGTGACAAATATTGGACAAATATCTGATTATTTCTAAAGCAACTTATATTTATCAGCAATAATAGCTTGGACTAACAAAAGAAGGACATGATACATAACAATTAATACTCTAATTAAATTGTATTCCGAGAGGAAAAATTATAATGAAAATGTTACTACATGATTGAATGATGTGGAAAGAAAATGTTGGAAACCAACCTTCTAGACTTTCTGCTTCTTCTACTGAAACTTCTCCACTAGAAATCTGTTCTCCTATATATTCTATGATAGAATATGCTAGTCTATGGTTAGCAGCCATTTCTGAAAAAAAAATTGTCTAAAAGTAACCAATTTGCTATTACTGGTACAAGCCAATTTGGATGAAATTCAGTACCTTAAACCTGACAAAGGTCAACTAGAAAAAGTTCGTCATGGTGTGAAGATGTCAGACAAAGACTTTTATAGCATGGCTTAGAAGACATGCACACATGGACAGACTTTACGAAAGGCCAAAAAATCTGTCAGACATTTGGTCTGACAAGCTTGAAAATTCTGTCAGACCGAAACAAAATCTGTCAGACCGAAGTAAAATAATAGAAATGTGAACCATTATTCATGTTTTCATGTGTATTTTCTAACGTTTTAAATCACTGACATTAATTCAAATATTAAATTTTTGATATATATTTATTTGTAAAAAAGTAAAATAAGAAAGAAAAACAAACAAAAAAAAAAATTGACAAAAAATAACTTGCATAACAAGTTGTTTTTTTATTTAATGAAAAAGACGCTGTGGAATGACACAAGGACTAAAAACAATACAAGTATGAAGAATGTGTAGCTAGTAATATCAAATGTATGTCCATAAAAACGTCTGTTATTGTTAATCAGATAACCATTTCACACCTTGTTTTTGGCAATAACATATGCATCTTGAAACAGCACAATAAGGCAGTCTCTTTCATCCAACTGAAGCTTTGATAGGGACTGTCCAGCCCGAGTCTAAGTTCCTTCTTCATTTTATTTCTTTTTTATAAAAATAAACTCAAACTGTGAGCTTTCATCAAGTTCACGTGCACTTTCTCCAACTCGTGGTGAACGGTACATGCAAATACATACATATGTTCCATAATTTAAGAACCCGTAATAAAGCTGTAACATTTATGTTGCTAATGATCAAAATGATAACTTTAGTACTCCTGACACTCGGCACACACTATTTTCCTCTCCTACAGATCACAAGTCCGCCAGGGTCTACCTTCTTTCCAATTTTAGTAAACTTCCGTTTCTCTTCCTCACTTCGTTTTCATTTTTTGCCACGCTTTGCACCAACGAAGTGTTTAAAGTTCAACAACGTCATTTTCTAAACAAAAGGCTTATCCATGAGTACTGTGTATGACTGATAATGAAGAAACAGAGGATCAAGTCTGTAAAAACGCAAATAGGGACAGTCGGGCTGACGTCACGCGTCTTAGCAAACGGCATCTGGGGTAAAACAAATCGGGCAACATGGCGGATCGCATTGACTTCTATGTAAATGTTGGCAGACTTTGTCCGAAGATATCATACTTCACAGTTCCTGAACACTTGTGTCAGTAAGGATGAGTTATTTACCTGGTCGATTTCTTTTACAGGCCTTTGTAATTAGCCGCTACACACCTGGTTAAGAGATAAAATCGGCCTTAACATAACTGCCAATCGTTATCTGTGATCCGGAAGTTTACAGCAGAAGATTTTGTAAAGGCAGTGGTTGACCATTTGTGTCTGGCGGGTTGAATCATTTACCTGGACTATTGAGTTAGCGGGCCTTTGTAATAAGCTACTGTTTAACTTATTACGGGATAAAATTGGTCTTAACTGCATACCCAAATGTTCACCCTAAGTATATACATGTACATAAGTTGGTGATATAGGAATGGCTTCTTAGAACGTGGATCGTAAGAAAGGCCTGGAAAATGTGCAACACTGAGAAGTTATTNTCACCAATAAAAGTTACACAGAGCTGTCGAATGTATATATATGTATTACTGTGCTTGATATCTTGAAAATTCACTTTCTATTAGTAGTGATTTTTAAACAAAATGACACAACAATGACATACACCCATTAAAATGTGTAGAAAGAGACTTGCGTGCTGTCTAAAATACAGTTTTAGACCAGTACATCTAACAGAGTAAGCTCATTTTATATGAGAGAGGACATAGCTGTAAACAAACTACCAGGCATGCAGTACATGGCAGCATTCATAAAGGTTTCAAAGATATTTTGTTCAACTTCATGAAGAAAATTCAATGTAACATTGTATTCCCCTTCAGCTTACACCTCTACTTCTCTTTCTCTCTCACACACTCACATGCACACACAAATGCATACACACACACACATTCCTGCATCAAAACATCTCCACAGAAAGACAAAGGGTTAATGTTATCATGTATTATAGAAGAAATGGGAACCAAGTGACTAATTTCAGCAGTCAAAACTCCATCTGATGAAACCTTAATGAATAGGGCCTGTGTTGCTATCACCCATGGGTGAAATGACACACAGTTTGACATTTCTAGATTCTTGGTCACCCTGGACATAATTTGTTGTTGAAAAATCTTTTCAGGAAAGCTAATGCACATGGCATTATTTGATCATTTGATACACAAATAATAATTTCACCATGCCAAAATGGATACTAATATGTATTTATCTATGCCATTAAAAAAGCTTCTATTTTCTTACACTTCTGGGTTTTCTGTACAGAGGTTCTTCAATATCAGCCTCTGGGACAGACTTCTTTGAAGAACAATAGCACTGCTGAAAATCATCAAAATATGAACATTACAGCAAATGAAATGTATTTTGGCAAATCAGTAATTCTCAATCTGAATTCCATTTAATACATACAGTTCATTACACTTCAGATTACCTATCTATGGTTCTATGGGCGTTTGTATTAGTAACCAGTTTCACTATAGTTTTACACTATGGATTTTATCATTTTTGTACTATAAATACACCATTTCTCAATCAGAAATTTGAAAAGGGCCATCTGCCTGTTTGGTTTGTGTTTCTGAGTTTGATTTGTGTGATCATTGTGAAACAGTTTAACAAAGCTTCAAGGCAGTTTTTATCTAAATTCAACCTCAGCAAAAAAAAGTCAAGCTTTACCCACTCCCACTTAAATAGCACCATTTAATACCATAGCAATATACATGCTTTCTATGAAATTTGTCTCTAAATAGGCTAGGCAAAGGAGAAAAGAATATAATGTTATTAGATATTACTGCATCAATTTTTCAATATTTTTCTACTGAAGAGCAGTATAAATTCACCACCTTTCACAGACTAGTTTAAAGCCAACACACTTGATTTTTTTAACATCACTTCTAACAAAATCTCTCATGAAACAGAGTATCTGCATATTAAACTGAAAAGAAAAAACATGCAATTTATGGATTTGAGTGCTCTAAATCCATAAACACATGTGCTTGGTGCCATGATATCAAGCAATTACTGTGGAAGAGAAAACAGGTTATAAATTACTATGAGACTGAATAATTATTATCAAGAATAATTCAAATAGGTTACCAGTATTTTATCAGCACAGTGCTAAGTAAAATGGCCTGTGTTAACAATCACCAGAGGTTAATGTATAAAAATAAGTTGAGGTGTTTTTTGTTTTGTTATAAACAAAGTATATCTTCCACTGTGATTTCTTTGTACTTAATGACAATGACCAAGATACACAAAATAGATAAACCATCAACTCGGCTTTCATGCTCCGTGTGCACCTGTCGTGGATGCATGTGTGTGCATGTATGCATGTACTGCTGCATGACTACAGAATTTAGAAAAAAATCTATTGAGTGCAAGGGGGGGGGGGGGGGGGAGGGGGGTCCCCCAGGATCTGGAGCACAGGGAGCCCAAATTTGTGAATCTGTAATTTGGTCATCGATAAACAGAGAGTCCAACCCAAGCTAGCCCAACCAACCACCCAACATAAATACTTTGTAAACAATACAGCTGTCTTTGGAAATGTAGGCTTTAGGCTATTAACCTTCTAAATGCGGATGGGACGGCTCTACAGAGAAACCCTCGGATGAGAGTGATTTCAGCTTCTAATAATTTGTTTTGAGTAAAAAAAGGACGAAAATATCCTGAGTTATCACTTGCAGTTTAATAGCTTTGTTCATGATGTAAATCAAGGTTACCGTAAGAAATTAATTCTATGATATACACACAATTTAACCATATTACAAAAAAAAAAAAAAAATCCCTTTGACCACTCACCATTCAAAAATATTTTTGCTCCAAGTTTGAATTTTGTTAGAAACCCTGTGCAATCAAAACACTGGGAGATGGAAAATTTTAGTATGGTGTAAGGTGGGTAAAGTGGGTAGGGGGGCATAAAAGTAGGCCATGCTCAGTATATGTACATTAAAAAATAGGGCACTGGAAAACATGACACTTTCACCCAAAGTATCCTACTTTACTTAGTTAAAAAAAAAACTTAACATTACCACCACCATCAAATCAGTGTCATGCAAATATCAGGGGAACAAAGTGTCCAAATTAAAGATGAAAATCCTTTTATTCCAACAACTCCCAAGAAGATCCACCACAGCTGCAGATTTCAAACCAAATGTTGTAACTTTCGGGATACATATTTCTGTTTTAGTTAATGTACATGTAAACATTTTAATATCTCATGATAAAGGGTAATGTATGAATGAGAATCCAGTTATTATTTGATATTGGTGGCATTAAATGTCTAACATGTTAAGCTAATGTAATATTAAACAATACCATGCACAGCAAAACAATGATAAATCAACATCAAAATGACTATAGGGAAAATCTACCTTGTTACACACTTACAACAACCAAATAAAACGAAAAATACAACAAAAAGCAACGGCCGAAATGCAACTGTTGCTAAATGAATTAAAGAAACACAAAATAAAGTGAGTTATAAAAACATAAACAACAAATTTTCAACAGCAAATCACATCTCCATCCTCAATTAAAACTACAGTACTTACATTCCAGATACTGCGACTAGGCTATTCTATAAGAGCTACTGAGAAAAGAAAATCAAATTTAGCATGCCTTTATTTATGGTGAAACAATATTTACACGAATTGCTAAACGTGGCCCTTCACCCTGACAAATAAGTCACAAATACCCACATAAAACATGAAGCAAAATCAGCTGGGTTGCATAAATCTTTATATTACCGTCGCCGATCAGGCACAATTGTCAAGAAAACTCGTTAATTGTTGTTGGAAATCTTACCATCAAGGACATCGTACATGTCTGTGGAAACTTACTCTTTGGTGTTTGGAGATTATAAGACGCCAAAATCTCGACTAAATTCGCGCTTTCTCGTGTGCATACACAGCTTTGTGGTCATGTTTTTATTGTACAGTGAACTTACTTAACTATTCGAAGACTATTCGTACTGCATATGTGTTTGTGAAATCAATAAAGTAGCCTTTCGTCTTGGAAACTTAGTAAAGGGAAATGTCCGGTGTCACGGTCTCAGAATGTCGTCGTGCTCAGTTCTTGATAAATGTAGATCTAACGTTCTGAGACTGCACTGACGAGCAGCTACCCGCTACCAGAACTACATAGGGACAGTCGGGCTGACGTCACGCGCCTTAGCAACCGGCATCTGGGGTAAAACAAATCGGGCAACATGGCGGATCGCATTGACTTCTATGTAAAAGTTGGCAGACTTTGTCCGAAGATATCATACTCCACAGTGCCTGACCACTTGTGTCAGTAAGGATGAGTTATTTACCTGGTCGATTTCCTTTACAGGCCTTTGTAATTAGCCGCTGCACACCTGGTTAAGAGATAAAATCGGCCTTAATATAACTGCCGATCGTTATCTGTGATCGGGAATTTTACAGCAGAAGATTTTGAAAAGGCAGTGCTTGACCTTTTGTGTCTGGCGGGTTGAATCATTTACCTGGACTAATGAGTAAGCAGGCCTTTGTAATAAGCTACTGTTTAACTTGTTACGGGATAAAATTGGTCTTAACTGCATATGCAAATGTCCACCCTAAGTATATACATGTNGAAGTCATATACTGGCAATTTACTGTGACCTTGAAATTGACCCTTGACCTACCTTACGAAGAACTTAAATTTGATTGTACCATATATATTTTTTGCAATAGTTTAAAAATTCTTGTTGATTGCATTTTTACAGCTTGTCAAGCACAAAACTGGTGGCTGTGTCCCTTATTTTGTGTATGTGGGGGTCTATACGAATGCGCTTGCTCCAGCTGGTGGTACAATATTCGGAGGCGGTATCGCCTCTCTGATCCTCTAGTTAGAATTGATTTCTACAAATTGTGATTAAATAACCTGCTGCTGCAATAGCCAGGGGAACGGGATAGGAGCAATGTCATCAGTCCCATGGCCTCTTTGGTCTGTATACAGTACGTACATGTATATTAATGCAAGCCTGGAAGGACAGCATAAACAGTTGCTTGCTAACTTTTTGGAAGAGAAGACACGTGGTGTTACCTGTATTAATTTTTGCAGCTATGCGTCTTTGAGTGTTTACAATCTTATTGTGCACTTTTCTGGTACGAAAATTGGCGAAATATCATAGAAGACAGAACATTAAATTTCAAAACGTACAAGGTTAAAATTAAATTGAATAACAAACACGGTAATAAAGCTGTATGTTATTTTACCAGTTAAGGTCGCTTTATTTATGGCAACTTTTTTTATATATTTTACTTGATAACTTAAAGATTTAGGCATTAACTCACAGGTTTGTCAATATATTGATGTATACCAGTATATTTTTTTCTTATCTTTATAACGCCCTCAATTAACTTACAACAAAAAAAGTTTGACGTTATAGTCCATTAATTTTAACTAAAAGAATTGATATACCGTCACACACGCCAACACAAGATGCAATCTCAATTTCTTGTAAATACTACTTATTTATTCATGTAACTAATGACAAACATAAATACCAAACAAGGTACAATGACTTTCTCCTTATCTATAATTAAATGAACAATACACACATACACAAATCTCGTAGTGCATGTATAGCTATAACCAAATCTTGTTTCGATCAACAATCCCGTCTTTAGTCACGTTTGCATGACCTATTGCCTGCAACAGTCGTTTATTTTTCCGTTGATCTTTGAAATTTAACAAATCCCATAAGATTTTATTAATGTGTTGGTAGTGTCACCTGGTGCACAGCAAGCTTCCACCATTTCACTTTTGTACGCGTGCCTTAAAGTTAAAAGGTACCGGTTCAATTCAGTAAGCTTGAAAATCTACCCGTCATATATGTGTCAGCAATATGCAACGTCAACAGTTATTAGTACATTTGAAAGCTTCCTTGATATTATCAGTTGCTTCCATATGGTTTTCTTTTCAAAGAGATGTCAATAATATGCTCATCCAGGTAAGCAAATGAGTCTTTGCAATGTACCACTGTAAGAGTCCCGATCACAGATAACGATCGGCAGTTATGTTAAGGCCGATTTTATCTCTTAACCCGGTGTGCAGCAGCTAATTACAAAGGCCTGTCAAGGAAATCAACCAGGTAAATGACTCAACTTCACTGACACAAGTGGTCAGGAACTGTGAAGTATGATATTTTCGGACAAAGTCTGCCAACTTTTTCATAGAAGTCAATGCGATCCGCCATGTTGCCCGATTTGTTTTACCCCAGATGCCGGTTGCTAAGGTAAAGTGCCCGGATGAGCGACTGTCCCTATAGCACGAGCACATGTGTTGCAGCCATTTTGTCGTGTAGGGGTATTACGAAAACGAAAACGAGACTGTACATTACATCATCCAGGAATCCCCCAACCTCAGCCAGTCACAAAATAGTATTTGTGAGTGAAACTGAGGTTAATAAATTATGTATAATTAGCTGGGAACTCCCCGAGATTTTCACCCCCTCTCTCTTTTCGAATGTAGTAAAATATATTGTCCAGAAAAGAAACAACAACGTATTCCTTATACATGTATTTGCACATTCCCCGTCAGTTTGAAAACTCGCCGGACATACAGGATTTTTTATCGGACCGAGACGAAATTTGCCAGGCTTGTCCGACGCCTTTCGTAAAGTCTGCATGGATTAACCACAGAGTATGTGAGCAGAAAACGCAGATATATTTAGAGACAGAATTAGGCACACGTTTAAACAATAATGGTACGCGACATGGCAAAGGCTGTGAAGTTTCAGCAAGGGCATGTTGGACATAGAGGGAAACACCATATTTTCATGCAAGATAGTATAATGTGCAGTACAGATGGCAAAAAAAGTATATATATATATATATTAACAGTAAGCACTGTATAGACAACCCAGGAGTGACAGGACACAGGAAGTAAAAAAAAAAAAAGAGTTACTGACTAGGATTAGGAACTAGTCAGAGAGAGGAGAACATACCCAATAATGGTCAATCTTTTGCATGGCAAGGATTCTATGACACACACTTATACTTAATATGTGGGTGGAAACAAAGACAGCGTCCTGGAGAGCTTATGAGGAACAACATCAGAGATAAGGATCATTTTAACCTATTTTTCTTTTTTTGTGTGTGTGAGGCATGATATAACATTAATAGAAAGACTTCGGCTAAAATAGAGTTATTTATTTATGCAGCGATGAAGTAATTCTTTCACAAAAATTTTAATCTTTCCATTTGGTACTACTGCAGTACAACGTAAAAATACATGGAGGATGATACGAGGTGTTTTAGAATAAAAATAAAAGTCATTACTGGGAAACCATTTATGAAAGAGTTTGAAACATTTTGACACAAGCTATAGACACTATAACTTACAAGAGACAGTGCTTTATTTTCGAATTTTCGCTTTCGGCACTTCACATGACTTGACATGGAAATTGAAATTGAGGGAAACACTTCAGTTTCAGTTGTATCCTTAACAAAGACAACACTTCCAGTCTGTATGTTCTAAATGCGTAAAAGATATCTGCTTAAAAGATATCTTCCATGCCTCTTATCTCTTTGCTAAACTCTTTTAAGACAGGCCAAGTATGTGTTCGATAAAGACTCACCTGATCTTTCACGATAGGAAGTTGGTTGCAGAAAGCGGAAGTTCTTTCTGCAACGTGTTTATGCGCAAGACTGCGCTAAACAGAAAGGTCATCGCGCATATTTAGAGAAAAAGATCATGCGTCGTGCAGAAGAAAAAGTTTCAGAAACGAACCACCTTTATTAACAACGTTATATGTCAGGAAAACATGAGTATAATAATAGTTTTTCTTATTGAAGTGTAAGCTACAGTTCAAGGTCACCGACAGAGGGCACATGATACATCCGATCGGCGGCCATTGATGCGGCATCTCCAGGACGTTTTCTTGTAGTGAAATTACCTTTATAGGTTGTTTCTTAGTGTAAGATCAACCCTCTGCATTACCAGACTGTGAGAAATCACAATGCCGTCGGAGTTGGAAAGCTGGAACCACAGCAAGGTTATCCAGGTGTCTAACCTGGCTATGACCTGTACAAAAGAACAAATCAGGACATTGTTTGGTTACCTCGGAAGGATTGACGAAGTTAAGATGTATCCAGCAGAGTAAGCAGTTTTATCCGCTGGTAGACCAGTAATGCCCTATGTAGATAGGGGTCTAAAATGAGAACAAGATTGTTCACCTGAAATTGCATAACCTGTATTACAATGAAATTCATTTATTTCTGTTAACTAAGTTATATTGTTAATAATAGTCATGCATGTATTGGCTCTCTGTAAATGTTATTTATCTGTGCTTATAGCCCCAGTAAACCAAAGAATTATGTATTAAATGTCACAAATGACAATATTTTATGGGCACCATGTTATGTCACTGTAGATTGATCATATCAATGGTTAATATTTATAGGAGAGTTGCAAATGAAAAATGCATTTTGGTGTATTGATTGTAACAATATTTTACTCTAGTCTCTCATACATTGAATTCTTTTTCCAGGGACAGCCCCATTCCAGCAACATCTAAGGTATTTTATGTAAAGTTTGATGATCCAGTGACTACTGGAGTAGCCTGCCACCTCACCAACACTGTCTTCATTGACAGAGCTCTTGTTATTGTCCCAGTATTAGATGGTAAGTAGAAACTGACTTATAATGCCATAGTTAGCTTGAGCTTTCTCTCTCTATATGTCTTTGTGAATATAAAACAACACGGTTCTGTCATATTGATGAGAATGTAAAGTAATCATCCTCCAGCAATCCTATTTTTATTTTTTAATATAGTCATCATTGCTCTCAAACATATCAGTTAAAAGTAAAATGATTTTTCCATCACGCTGAAATTAGTTTAAAGAAATTATCTGTATGACTGTCTTTTAAACATTTCTAGGTAAGATTCCTGATGAGCAAACTGCCCTGCAGATCTCTGCCCCAGGGGCCTCTCAGCCAGGTCAGCCTGTGATGGGCACACCCAACTGGCCACAAGATATTGTGAACCAGGTAAGGAGGTGTCTGAAAGAAAACTGACAGTAAGACTTTTAAGAAAATGGTCAAATTGAAATAATCTATTCGTGAACTGCTTAGATCTAACACATCAGATGTTAAACTGGACTGTTATCTGTATGAAAGATTTTGATCTAAAATGTCTGAGTAAATGTGAAGGTGAGGGGGATACAACAAATATGTACTTGAAAGCAGTTTGCTTAGCATGAAATTGACAATTAACTTGACATTTTGTACTTGAAATATGTCTATTGTAAAAATATTTTCTCAACTTTATAATATTTCAGACAACGGGCATGGGGTTAAACCAGGTGCATACCACCTATGACCCCAAGTTGTCAGCCATGGGTCTGCCCCAGTACCCCCCTCTCTCTGGCACCCTGGACCCCCACAAGGTAGAGGAGATACGCAGGACTATTTATATCACAAACCTAGATACCACAGTAAGTTTATAGCACCAGCTGAACTTGTGTCTTAAAGCAAATTGATTACAAGCCAAGATTGTAACATTATGTAATTTACTTTTAAATAAGTGTGTAGTAAGCAATATGTTGAATTTGTTTAATGTGAAAATTGCTTTTCATTTTGTATAAAGTCATTTGGTCATTTATAGGATTATGTAATTTAGCTTATTGCTGAGCAAGTAGAATTAGCAGTAGTTAGCAACTAACAGAAAGAAAAGAAAACTTACTCCAAACACAAGTAATTTATTGAATTCACTTTTTCTTAAAGGTGACATCAGAGATGCTATTGACATTCTTCAGCCAGATAGGGGAGGTGAAGTATGTGCGTATGGCTGGAGACGAGGCACAGCTTACCAAGTGTGCTTTTGTGGAGTTCTCAGAAATGAGCTCTGTGGCCACTGCCTTAACATACAATGGTGTGGCTTTTGTAGGGAAACCACTCAAGTAAGTAATCTGTTAAAAAACAGACTATTGACAGTGTAACTTGCTTTACTTTGCGTAAAGATTGGTACAAAGATTGAAATATATTTCTTAATTAATAAATTTGCCTTATGAAAAATGCAAAGAAAGTAATATTGTGAATGTTAGCACTTTTACTTTATTTTGCCCATCTTTTATTTCAGAATTGGACATGCTAATAATGCTATTGTGAAACCAGGTGCATCAGCTATGATGCCCTCAAGAGAAATGGAGGAAGCAATGAAGAAAGTGAAAGAAGCTCAGTCTCTCATCACCTCAGCTGTTGAAACGGGTTTGTTCTGTTACATGGCTAGATTGTGCACATTACTATAAAATTACTTTTCTATATTAGTTGATAAAACAGATTCATTCTCAACTTGGAAGCTAAATAACAAGAGTGATACACTACATTTCAGTCCAATTTGAGGATCTTGAACAATGATTTTGTGCCTGAATGTGACACCTTGGAAAAAGCATCCTGTTTCCTAGTTGTCACATTTGGGCACATAATAATTCATGTTATCCAAGTCCATAGATGCAGGATCAAAACATAGTGTATGGCTCTTGCTTTTTAGTCTCAAAGTCAAGGATAACTTTTTTATCACTGTGTACATTTTTTAAAGGGCGGCAAAACTTAAACATGCAAGCCTAGAATGTGATGTTTGTGACCAAACATTTTTTCAATGAGAAAAGAAAGGCTAATGAGAAGTAATGTTTTTGATTAAAAAATGTGCATTTTTTCTTTCATTGCAGATCTTGGTAAGCGCAGCAGGTCACGTTCTCGCTCAAGAAGGAGACGCTCCCGTTCAAGATCTCGTAGAAAGTCCCGATCCAGGTCAAAGGGAAGGTCAAGAAGGTCTAGGTCTCGAACCAGAAGATCTAGTTCAAGGTCAGTTTTTGCATTTAAGGCTTTCAAAAAGTCTTTTTTGTTAATAAAAATATATTTTGGTCGAGCAAAAGCTATGTATTGCAGCGTATTAAATGGAGTTGTGTTGAGACTATAATAATAATAAAAGATACCTAACATTAATTTTATTTTATATTATACAGAACTAGAAGAAGAACTCGGTCACCAAGAAGGAGAAGATCACGCTCCAGACATAGGTCCAGGTCGAGATCAAAGTAGGTTTAATTTTTCAGTAAGGGGTAAATAATATTAAAGATACGGATATTGTTTAGTTTTCCCTTACATTGTTCGATTTTATTAGATATTTGTTGTTTTAATATTTGATAAGATGCAACAATTTATTAACTAAAGTTCTAGTAAGTTTAAACTTTTGGTATGTCATTTTTATTCTAGAGACAGGAAAAGAAGAGAAGATAAAGATAGGAAAAGGGACAGGTCCCGTACAAGAAGAAGCCGTCGCTCTAGGAGTGGTAGCAGGTAACTTGGCTATGCAAATAGTTGTTTTTTATACACTTTAACTGGAGAGATTTGAGAAATGGCATTTTGTCTCCTGATTTATAAGGCATTGTTTTTTATGCTATTAAATCCTTACTGTAACATTTTTATTGCCAATTGTTTGTTATACACTTGGTCATTCAAACAGCAATTGCAACCTTTTGACTTTCCTTACTGTTAATGGTATTATCAGATATTATTCTATTCTGTTAGAGAATAATATAAAGTTAAATGGTGTTTTATTATAATTTAATGTATTGACCTCAAGGTACACTATAAGATAGGATTATTATCAGTAATAATGATAGAAAGCTGAGTTATAGTTTTTTATGCTCGTTCTTCAAATCTGGTAACTCAGCTTGTTAAAATATATTATAGTTATATGCCACTTTTTTTTCACTGATATAAGGTTGTGTTTATTTTAATTTTTAATTTTATTATTATTTTATGGTGTTAATTTTTTTTAGTTTTATGGATTCTGATTTTGATAAGATTTTTCTAGGATGCCTTATTTGAAATGTGCAAAAAATTGAAAATGTGCTTTTTTGCATTTTTTTCCTCTTATATTTTGTTTTGAATAGTTTTACTAAATAGTGAACGTTATTATGTTAGATTTGACTAAAAATTAATGTATTTTCAACTCAACAGGAAAGAGCCACCACCAGTCACTGACATGCGGTAATGCTCTAATTTAACCAAGTTGTAGCATTGTCTTACAGGGCTGTATTTTGAAAATATTGTAATTGTACCTAGTGCATCACTATTTTACAATGAGATACATTTATATCAGACACTTGAAAAAAATGTTTGAAAAGAAAAGATAGAACCACAGGTGAAGTCACAATATTTTCCAACAATGCAGCCTTAGCAGTAATGTTTATGAAATAGTCATAAAAGGCAATGTATTACTGTAAATGCCAGAATGACGGTAAACTTGCCAATATGTACTCACATATTAAGTAACAATTCCCAGTTGTAATATGTGTGAAATGTGCAGTGCAGGTTTGGAATACCACGATCCAAAATCAAGATATCTTGGTAAATTTTAATTCAGGAAATGGGAGGTCTTGTTGAAAAATGTATTTTTAGATGGTTTATAGTCTTTCCAAGCACACTGTTTGAAGTGGTGTTTTGAACTTGCACCATATTTGAATAAATTATATTTTGCATTAGATAAAATTGACAATCAAACTGTATCTTCTTATTCAGAGAGCGCAGACGCAGCAGATCTCGCTCAAGACATCGTCGTCGCTCACGCTCGCCTGCCAAAAAGTCATCAAGGAGTCCTTCTCCCCCAAAGATAGAGAGAATTAGATCCTTGTCACCTAAGAGAAAAGGCAGCTCCAGATCTCCCTCTCCACTCAAAAAGTAAGTGTTATCCAGCAGTGAGCAGCGTTAAGAATATAACAAAAGCTGACATCTGCTCTTCTAACATGTGCAGTAGTTATGTACTGATGAAATTGTGTTTGTAATTTACAATTTATTTTGGTGATTTTTGTCCCTTCGTTTCTCTCCCCCCTCCTCCCTGTATAAAAAAGGGAGTGGACAGAAGGAAAATATAGCAGTTAATTTCTTATCACTTCAGTTGTACATGTCATCCGGAGTAACTTTGGTTTGTAATGTCAAACATATTGCCTCCTCAAATATGAAAATTCCTTTTCTAAAATTCAGATCCAAGTCTAGGCGTTCCAAATCCAGAAGTCGATCTCCCAAAAAATCATCTTCATCTAGGTAAGCATGCGAAAGACAATATTTTTAGATCAATAAATTCTAAATTACACAACAAAGATATGAATCTTTCAGTACAAGTTTTTGATTTTCCCCATTTCTTATTTAAAAACATCAAGCATTTATTATAATTATTATTATTATCAAAATTTGTGATACATTTGATAGTGATGGCACTGATGCATTGTACTTCAGGCACAAGAAGGAAAAGAGGAGAGATAGGGATCGTGATAGTAGGGAGCGTGAAGGCAAGAGTAAGAAGAAGAAAGACAAGGATAGGGACAGGGACAGAGACAGGGATCGTGAACATGGTGAGGACAGGAAGAGTAGCGAACAGAAGGAGGTCAAAATCAAACGCGACTATGACGAGGAGGAGAAGGGCTACGACAGTGATAAAAGCGAGGACCGTAAGGAGGCCCAACCCGAGGAAAGTAAACCACCAGAGGCTGAGGCAGAGAGCGCCAGCAGTAGCAGTGAAGATGAAGAGAGGGAAAAGTCCAAACCAGCTCCAACAGATGACTTGCAAGAGATGGACATGGATGTTGACAGCGACTGAAATGTCAGTTGTAAAGAATTGGGAAAGTCTAGATGGATATGAAATGTCGCAATCATTTGTTGGCAAGAGTTACGCAAACAAGAGGCATGTCTCTCATTTCCCGGATTGACTTCCCTTTGAAAGTCTGCTCTTCTTAGGAATCATGCAAAGTTTTACTACGTGCAGGTAGTTGTCTGCCGAAACTTGTGCACGCGTTAGATGAGGAACGCTGTGTTCTGTGCAGTGAAGTACTGTAGTTCCGTTCGCGTGTTACAAACCAGTGGACATGACATACGAGGTAGTAGCTGTTTTAAGTTGTGTTAGTCATTCAAATTATCTTGGCTGCTGACATTCCAAGGATTAAAAATAAATAGAGGAGCTGACTGTATCAAATAGTACAACCAAGAGCCAAGTCTGATATAATAGACAATAATATGGTGGATTACTATTTTATATGCAAAGGCAAAGTATTGTTGTTACTTCATTTGTTTCTTATGACCGGAATAAGGAACAACAGGACTGTAATGATACCAATTAGTTTGGCATGTACTTTATTTTTTATTTCATCAAGGAATATATAAATGTTTAAAATGTACTGTTCAAGTTGTACAGTTTATCGTGCAAAAGAGGACAAGTAGTCCAAGTTTAGGAAACGTTTCAGCAAACACAATAAAGAAATTATGCAATTTACCTTACTTAAATGTAAGTTGATCACATGGATATGAATAAAAACGTTTCATTAAAAACTAATGCATACAATGAGACACGCAACTTGGGGGAGGGGGGGGTTTAAGAAACCTGAGACCCCCCAAGTTCATTGCTTCTATTCAATTTCCATATCGTTTGATTGTGGATCGAGTGTTTTTCACTAGTACATTAAAGGGTGATATCTAATATGATTTTAATTAAATTCAATTTCAAACTCCATAACTGTTCTGGTAATCTTCCATATTATTTCACTAACATCATTTAAATTTATTCGGAAAGCAAAGGAAAATGAACTGTCTCGGCCAACCTTTCATAAAACAAGTCACCGTGTACAAAAAATGGCAAATCAAACAGAACATGGATTAGTTCGGCGAAGTCTGTTATGAGGACAGGTTATGTGGCAATTACGTCTTAAAACCTGGTTTTCTGCTTAACAGCAAAGTAACCGGTAGTGTGACGCGCAGCTTGGTATCCAAAGTGGCGTTCCCGCCCAGTGTTTGCAGTATGTCTCTTTGCAGCGTCTCCAGTATTTCCCCGTTGGAGTATTTCTTAACGTAAATTACGTAAGGGCTCATGGATCTGAAAAATCCAATGATATTTTCAACTTTCAGGTCATGTTCAAGAGTTATTGTCTCATCCCTAAGGTGGTCTTCCAGTGGTGGTCTACAGGCAAATACATCATCCGGGTACCTGTTGTAGACATGTTTCATTCTTTCGTCACAACAAGAAGCCTCCCAGAGCTTTTCTTCGTAGAGTGTCACATACTTGGTCAATTGGTTTCCATGTGGATTAGAGTCTAAAATGGGTGTGCTATGTGTCGCCAAAACTACACAGCCGTTCGGTTTTAGCACCCGGTAAGCTTCAGCATAGAACTTGTCCATGTCAATCCAGTGGGCAGCTTGAACACAGGTAACTAGCTCCACAGACTGGTCAGCTATTGGAAAACATTCGCCTGAACCCGTTTTGTATGTAATGTTCTTTCTATGATTCCCTTTGATTGCTTCTGAAACCTGATTAGCGCTGATGTCTATACCCGTCACTTGTTTAAAGTGAGGGGCCAGAAGCTGTGTAAACTGACCTGAGCCACAACCGACATCTATGGCATGGTCATATGGTGCTGGTAACTTCTCCCGAAGATATGTTAAAATCCTATCTGTGATGTCCGTTGTCCAGAAAGACCGGAATTTAGCGTAGGTGGCTGTATGGTCAGCACTTTCGAATAACCTGCAAGCCATACGAATAACGTGCGCGTTCTTTAGTTTCCGATTTTCGCTGTGTTCACCAATGACCTAGATTTGAAGAAAGATAACCTCTGTAAGGTGTAACTTTGTCACGGTGCACTGTATGTCCTCCGTAAGAGGGCACTAAATGGGGTGCATGTCATCTTTGCTTTGGCCCAAAATCATTATGTCGAGTATTTGCGTGCCACTGCTTTCTGTCATTTATCTGACATTCAAAATATAGAAATCTAGAATATCTCGATGAAAATTGTTTTCAATTTAATGATTTTGCCAGTGATTAAATAAACGTAAAATGCGAAGGCTGCCTTTATTTAAAAGTAACTATAAGAATGACAAAGAGGAACCATCTTTAAGCCACAAAAAGGTACACTTGAACCGAGCATTGGTGGTGCGTGGATTCTCAGTAACGCATAACCAGTAACTACTTCTACTAGTTTCTTATACGATTAAAATGAAGTCGACATGCTAATTGGTAAACCTAATTAATCACTCGATCATCCATAAAAGAAATTTATACTGCACGTTCTTCAAAATTTGGGCGTAAATTTGACCAACTTGTCTACCCTGTTTACATACAGCACACAAAGCAAGCAGGAATAGGCCTATCCCTTCATTTTTCGAGTAATATGAAAAGATGTCATTTGGTATTTGAAACAATACGGTAGTATTTGGTAGGCTTTTGTGGAAAAATTGACTTCAAATTCATCTTTTATTTACTGTTGGGCAATTAAGGGGTAGGGTAATAAAAAGTGAACTGTATCCCCCCCCTCTTTTGATTTGGTTTTCTAAACCCCTTTTTTTATTTGGGTAGGTATCACAACTGGTTATTAGCATAACGTGTTGACCGTCTGTCATACAAGCGCGATATATTCAGTGATAATAGAAAAACATGGATGAACTTACTGGTATTTTAGACTCTTTCAATTTTATAAATTATATTTTGCCTCTAGGCTGTAACTCTAGACATAGTTGGTAGATAACCGTCGCAAGAAAGCATAACGTCTCATTTCAGCTGATAAGGTCTGAGCCAAACCTTTCAGGAAAATTTTATGCTGCTATTTTGTAGTCCTTTTCATAGCTGCATTGTACCGTAAATATTTTATGGAAAGCGGTTTCTGTAAAACAGTGATACCTAATTGTTATTGAGTCCCAAGAGATCTGGTTTTACGCAAATTACATCTATAAATTATGTGTATTCATATGTTGTTATTACCCCGCAAGGTGTAGTCATTTTAATTCATTCTTTTGAATCCACAACATGTCGCTACATGTTAAAAGACATTTTGCTGATTAGATATGCGCCCCTTCTTTCTTCCAAACGCAAATCTATCAAAATGGATTGGCAGCATATTACAGGATATGAAATGCACCTTACTTTTATTAGGTAACGATGACTGTCCTTGAAACAGAATAAGCTTTTAATCTGGCTCTTGGCTCGTATTTTTTCCCAGGACTTTTTTGGAACAAAGAAATGTATGGCGAAAAAATAAATTATGTTGCAACCTTTTTTAAACTGTATATGTTGCCTGGACTAGAAAGGCTCTTGCACCTGTGAATGTCCATTAAGGACTGATCAGACGCGGTCCAGAAAAGCCCTCTCTCCTCTTCTCTCTCCTAGATTTGTTTGAAGGACATTCACAGGTGTAAGAACGCAACCGAGCCTCTCTTATCAAGGTAATAGCGCTTTTACTTGGACAAAAGTGCAACCTAATTAATTTTTTCGCTAATCATTTCCTTGAAATCTCCTTATCAACTTACCTTTAGTTCCAAATAATCCCTGCACGAGAAACATGAAATATTCTTATGCAGTGTCAGTTAAAAAGTGCTTTGGTTCTTCCTTATTGTACTTACAAGTCGCCCGGTAGTTTCTACAATTTGGAGTAATTCTTCGTTTGTCGTGTGTGTGTGTGTGTGTGGTATTTATCTGTAGCACCACATTTGAACTGCATTTAGTTTATTTTTCTTTCACTATGTGTTTACTTAAAATGTTAAATTAATTCACTTCTTGTCAGAATTTTAAACTAAATACACATAATAACCAAAACCAAATCACATAACGTATGCTCAAGCCGTGTCCTTATGGTCTGTTCCCACACTGGGTCTGCAGATAAATATATATTTGTTCATGGCTGTATTTTTTAATGAAACATTTTGCACAATCTCCATAAGACATTATTCAAGATAGGATCGAACACAGATAATGTTGGCGGTATCTAAATGTTTTTCATTGGGTAGTAGTAAGTATACGGTATATACAGACTTGACATTTAATATGGAATATTTTTTTCCAAATCATTTTTCATCAGTTTTTTTCTATTTTGCAGACTGATAAATGAAAATAAGGATTAAAATCGTGTTTTAATAACTTTTGATAATCTATTCGATGTCAGTNCAGCAGCACCCACTTTGTATGTGATATTCTTTCTGTCATTCCCTTTGATTGCTTCTGAAACCTGATTAGCGCTGATGTCTATACCCGTCACTTGTTTAAATTGAGGGGCCAGAAGCTGTGTAAACTGACCTGAGCCACAACCGACATCTATGGCATGGTCATATGGTGCTGGATACCTCTCCTGGAGATATGTTAAAACCCTATCTGTGATGTCCGTTGTCCAGAAAGACCGGAATTTAGCGTAGGTGGCTGTATGGTCAGCACTTTCGAATAACCTGCAAGCCATGCGTATAACGTGCGCGTTCTATAGATTCCGATTTTCGCTATGTTCACCAATGACCTAGATTTGAAGAAAGATAACCTCTGTAAGGTGTAACTTTGTCACGGTGCACTGTATGTCCTCCGTAAGAGGGCACTAAATGGGTTGCATGTCATTTTTGCTTTGGCCCAAAATCATTATGTCGAGTATTTGCGTGCCACTGCTTTCTGTCATCTATCTGACATTCAAAATATAGAAATCTAGAATATCTCGATGAAAATTGTTTTCAATTTAATGATTTTGCCAGTGATTAAATAAACGTAAAAACAAAGACTGCATTTATTTTAAAGTAACTATAATAAGAGTGACAAATGGGAACCATCCTTAAGCCATAAAACCTTAAAGGTACGCTTGAACCGAGCATTGGTGGTGCGTGGATTCTCAGTAACGCATAACCAGTAACTACTACTAGTTTCTTATACGATTAAATGAAGTCGACATGCTAATTGGTAAACTGAATTAATCACTCGATCATCCATGAAAGAACTTTATACTGCACTTTCTTCAAAATTTGGGCGTAAATTTGACCAACTTGTCTACCCTGTTTACATACAGCACACAAAGCAAGCAGGAATATCCCTTCATTTTTCGAGTAATATGAAAAGATGTCATTTGGTATTTGAAACAATACAGTAGTATTTGGTAGGCTTTTGTGGAAAAATTGACTTCAAATTCGTCTTTTATTTACTGTTGGACAATTAAGGGGCAGGGTGATAAAAAGTGGAATGTACCCCCCCCCCCCCAACGGTTTCCAAGTCGAATCTTTTGACTTGGTTTTCTAAATCCCTTTTTTTTTTTTAATTTAGGGAGGTATCACAACTGGTTAAAAGCATTACATGTTAACCGTCTGCCATACAAGCGCGCTAAATACAGTGATAATAGAAAAACATGGATGAACTTACTGGTATTTTAGACTCTTTCAATTTTATAAATTATGTTTTGCCTCTAGGCTGTGACTCAAGACATAGTTGGCAGATAACCGTCGCAAGAAAGCAGAACATCTCTTTTAAATATCTGATAAGGTCTGAGCCACACCTTACAGGAAAATTTTATGATACTTTTTTGTAGTCATTTTCATAGCTACATTGTACCGTAAATATTTTATGAAAGGGATTTTTGTAAAACATCGACACCTAATTGTTATTGAGTCCCAAGAGATCGATCTGGTTTTACACAAATTACATCTATAAGTTATGCGTATTCATATGTTGTTATTACCACGTAAGGTGAAGTAATTTTGGTTCATTCTTCTGAATCCACAAGCTCCCTCTTCAATATGTCGCTACATGTTAAAAGGCATTTTGCTGATTAGATATGCGTCCCTTCTTTCTTCCAAACGCAAATCCGTTAAAATGGTATTGGCAGCATAATGCAGGATATAAAATGCACCTTACTTTTATTAGGTAACGATGACTGTCCTTTAAACAGAATGAGCTTCTAATCTGGCTCTTGGCTAGTATTTTTCCCTGGACTTTTTTGGAACAAAGAAATGTATGGCGAAAAAATAAATTATGTTGCAACCTTTGTTAAACTGTACATGCTGCCTGGACTGGAGAGGCTCTTGCACCTGTGAATGTCCATTAAGGACTAATCAGACGCGGTCCAGAAAAGCCCTCTCTCCTCTTCTCTCTCCTAGATTTGTTTGAAGAACATTCACAGGTGTAAGAACACAACCGAGCCTTTCTTATCAAGGTAATAGCGTATATACGCTTTTACTTGGACAATATTGCAACCTAATTAATTTTTTCGCTAATCATAATTTCCTTGAAATCTCCTTAACAACTTACCTTTATTTCCAAATAATCCCTGCACGAGAAACATTAAAAATTCTTATTCAGTGTCAGTTAAAAAGTGCTTTGGTTCTTCCTTATTGTACTACTTACAAGTCCCCCGGTAATTTGTACAATTTGGAGTAATTCTTCGTTTGTCTTGTGTGTGTGTGTGTGTGTGTGTGTGTGTGTGTGTGTGTGTGCGGTATTTTAACCATTTATCCGTACCACCACATTTGAACTGCATTTAGTTGATTTTTCTTTCATTATGTGTTTACTTAAAATGTTAAATTATTTCACTTCTTGTCAGAATTTTAAACTAAATACACATAATAACCAAAACCAAATCACATAACGTATGCTCAGGCTGTGTCCTGGTCTGTTCCTACACTGGATCTGCAGATAAATATATATTTGTTCATGGCAGTATTTTTTAATGAAACATTTTGTACAATCTCGATAAAACATTTTATTTCTTCAAGATAGGATCGAACACAGATAATGCTGGCGGTATCTAAATGTTTTTCAATGGGTAGTAGTAAGTATATATTAAGTGATGGTAGGCAATACAGAGGGTAGGTATTTGAAATCTCATGAGTCTGGCTGACGATTAATAATAATATATAATATCTGCGTTTGAAAAAGTCCCAAAATCGTATTTATTGTGTTACATACAACCCGTAAAGCTTCTGAAGCGTACAGGAAAACATAGAGGACTAAATGCCTGGCCATGCAAACATTTAGAACTACATTATTTCATTACAAATGGTATCAAACATCAAACCAATCCATCACCGATTCGTGAGTAGGCGAACATTACTTTTTTCATTGACAATGTGATTGGAAGGAAGATCCAGTATTGGATACCTTTAACTTCCAGGCTTTCTGCCAAATAAAATGAATACTGGGAATGTGACACGTACAACACTATCTTGGGTGGCATCCTCTCCCAATGTTTTTAGTATGTTTTTCTGCAAGGTCTCCAATATGTCACTGCTGGAATATTTTTTAACATATTTGACGTAACCGCCGCTGGAACTTGCATATCCAACGACTTCCTTCACCGTCATGTCATGTATCATTGCCATAGTGTCGTCCCTGAGATGATCTTTCAACGGTGGTCTACAGGCAAATATTTCATTCGGGTACCTGTTGTAGACATGCTTTATCGTTTCGCCACAACAAGATGCCTCCGACATAAAACTCCTCCATAGATTTTGTCAAGGGCTCTGCCAGTGGTTTTGAGCCCAATTCTGGTACGGTATAAGAAATCAGAATTTGTCCATATCAATAAAGTGGGCGGCCTGAACACAGGTAACTAGCTCCACAGACTGGTCAGCTATTGGAAAACATTCAGCAGCACCCACTTTGTATGTGATATTCTTTCTGTCATTCCCTTTGATTGCTTCTGAAATCTGATTAGCGCTGATGTCTATACCCGTCACTTGTTTACAGTGAGGGGCCAGAAGCTGTGTAAACTGACCTGAGCCACAACCGACATCTATGGCATGGTCATATGGTGCTGGATACCTCTCCTGGAGATATGTTAAAACCCTATCTGTGATGTCCGTTGTCCAGAAAGACCGGAATTTAGCGTAGGTGGCTGTATGGTCTGCAAGCCATGCGTATAACGTGCGCGTTCTATAGATTCCGATTTTCGCTATGTTCACCAATGACCTAGATTTGAAGAAAGATAACCTCTGTAAGGTGTAACAGTTGGCGTACACGGTGGAAAATTTTGCATCCGCGAATAGCTTGAATGACATATCTATAGCAAACGAGTCTACACTTACACTTGCTGTTTTGCTATTTTGTGATACGGGCTGAATGCACACAAAACGGTTTAGGTACCCAGACAGCCTCAGTGATCTGGCCCACGTCTGGCCCAGATCTGGCAACGTCTGGCAACGTCTGGCAAAAGGTATGGCCCACGTATGGCTTGCCACATGTGGGCCAGATGTGGCAATGTTTGGGCCAGATCTGGCCCAGACATTGCCACATCTGGCCCAGTCCATATTTGCTCATGTGGCCAGATGTCGGCCCAGATCTGGCAATATCTGGCAAAGGTATGGCATGCCAGATGTGGACCAGATCATATTCAAATGGGCCAGATTAGGGCCAGACATGGACCACATATGGCCCAGATTGNATTACAGCGACTAGTATAATATACATAAATATAACAGTTGGTATGCCCCCATAAATATTTGGTTAACGGTTTCTGTATGTAAATGATTTCTGTAGTTTGACGTTACAGAGCTTTCATTTAAAATGATTAGAAAGATCACAAGGAATTGTTAGAGAAAATCGATCTGGTATCCGACTTTATTTAATGTTATAAGTAATGGTAGGCAATACAGACGGTAGGTATTTGACATCTCGCGAGTCTGGCTGACGATTAATAATATATAATATCAGCGTTTGAAAAAGTTCCTATTTTATGTTATATACATCCTAAGCTTCTGAAGCGTACAGGAAAACATGGAGGACTAAATACCGGCCCATGCAATCATTTAGAACTAAATTATTTCATTACAAATTTTCGCCTACTCACCGATTCGTGAGTAGGCGAAAATTACTTTTTTCAAGGAAATGTGATTTGAGGGAAAATCCAGTATTGGATACCTTTAACTTCCAGGCTTTCTGCCAAATAAAATGAATACTGGGAATGTGACACGCACAACAGTATCTTGGGAGGCATCCCCTCCCAATGTTTTTTGTATGTTTCTCTGCAAGGTCTCCAATATGTCACTGCTGGAATATTTCTTAACATATTTGACGTAACCGCCGCTGGAACTTGCATATCCAACGACTTCCTTCACCGTCATATCATGTACCATGGCCATTGTGTCGTCCCTGAGATGGTCTTTTAATGGTGGTCTACAGGCAAATATTTCATTCGGGTACCTGTTGTAGACATGCTTTATCGTTTCGCCACAACAAGATGCCTCTGACAGTTTGTCATAAAACTCCGCCATAGATTTTGTCAAAGGCCAGTGGTCAGTGGTTTTGAGCCCAATTCGGGTACGGTATAGGAAATCAGTGCCACGCAACCATTCGGTTTTAGCACCCGGTAAGCTTCAGCATAGAACTTGTCCATATCAATAAAGTGGGCGGCCTGAACACAGGTAACTAGCTCCACAGACTCGTCTGCGATTGGAAAACTTTCGGCAGCACCCATTTTGTATGTGATATTATTTCTGTCATTCCCTTTGATTGCTTCTGATATCTGATTAGCGCTGATGTCTATACCTGTCACTTGTTTAAAGTGAGGGGCCAGAAGCTGTGTGAACTGACCTGAGCCACAACCGACATCAATGGCATGGTCATATGGTGCTGGATACCTCTCCTGGAGATATGTTAAAACCCTATCTGTGATGCCTGTTGTCCAGAGAAACCGGAATTTAGCGTAGGTAGCTGTATGGTCAGCACTTTCGAATAACCTGCAAGCCATACGAATAACGTGCACGTTCTATAGATTTCGATATTTGCTACATGTACACCAGTGACCTAGATTTTGCAGAAATATAACCTCTGTAAGGTGTAACAGTTAGCGTACACAGAGGAGTGTTTTGTCTCTATCCAGGAATAGCCTGAATGCCATATTTGTGGCAAACGATCGAGTCTGCACTTACACCTTGCTGTTTTCCTATTTTTTTGTGATACGGGTTGAATGCACACAAAACGGTTAAGGTAGCAGGCAGGGTATGACAGCAATCGTACTTCCTGTTAAGCATGCGCTCTATTATTCTCACTAGAATCTGCGCAAAATAGCGGGAGTTCAAATGGAGATTATCGAAATGCTGTTCAAAATGTTTAATTTAATTTTGTCAAGAAATATATCCATGAGAGAAAATACATTAAAACTGAAGCAAATTCGCGCGGCAAGGATAAGGAACAGACAGCAATTTTTACGATCGAGGAAAACGATGTTCATTTTTTCCCCATGCTGTATTTGTAGACCTTTGTACACCGACTTAGAGCGGAGTAGGCTATGTGGAGTAGGGAGAGAACTCAAAGTTTTTCTTACCACAGTGTGCACATGCGTTGCATATGTAAACATCTGGCCTTGACTGCGATTCGGAGTTAACTCTGATTTAACCCGCTCCCGATCTGGGTTTATTTAGACCGCAATCAGGGGTAGGCCTACGTCGTCCGTTAACATTAGAAAAGTTAACCCCGATACGACCGAAGTCAGGCCTCGACCGCGGTCGAAAGTCCCAGTGTGAGTGCCCTATAAATTACATTTGTACTACCTTTTTTGTTTCTGATAATAGATAAATATTAACTGCTCACTTTGCAAATTCCTTTGCATTAATTTACACCAATGTCATTTTACGTATTAGGTTATACGTCATAATTGGAATTTCGGGGTTATTTCAAAATCTGTACCTCGGATCTCGATCTCTTTTACCTGAACACCTAGGAAAACCGTTTCAATGCCAAGTTAATGACAACATTGAGTTCTTCAGATTCATGCCAGCGTTTATTGTTATAAGTCTTTCAGTACATAGGCTAGATTAATGACCATGATACTGGGCATATACGTGAAGTTTCAAAGAGCAAATAAAACATGTTTAAAATTCACGAGTGCTGTGTTAGATTGTATACATTTCAGTTGCACACTCAGCAAATCACTTTGTGGCAGTCAGTGACTGTTATGCTTCTTTCTCTAAAACATGTTGTTCCATGTACATGTCTGGAGAGTGACAATGATTTATATATTAAACAGTGAAAGAGGAATACGCACTAGCCCGTATCTTTTGAAACATTAAATATCCGATTTCTAGCTCTTTTACACGAATGTTCCATGTTGATTCATACGCCCAGTTCCAAGAAATGATGACGTATCAAGCTTGCACATTTGCCATGGAGATCCAAGATTGCCTTTCTCCCATAATTGCCTTTTGACAAATCGTTAAGTGCGTCAAAATTGGTGATCATGTTACAAGAATCGCTTGGATGTGGTATAAGAATAGTTTAATTGCGACGTCTGATACATGTAGTTATATGGAGACATTGGAATAAGTGTGGCAATGATCTCGCCAAAGGAAATCGGTAAATTTACGTCATTGCATTACAAGTTTAATTGGTGATTTAATTTAACCAGGCTTTCTGCCGAATAAGATAAATACTGGGAATGTGACACGTAGAACAGTATCTAAGGTGGCATCCTGTCCCAACGTTTTTAGCATGTTTCTTTGCAAGGTCTCCAATATGTCACTGCTGGAATATTTCTTAACATATCTGACATAACTGCTGCTGGAACTTGCATATCCAACGACTTCCTCCACTGTCATGTCATGTTCCATGGCCATTGTGTCGTCCCTGAGATGATCTTTCAGTGGCGGTCTACAGGCAAATATTTCATCCGGGTACCTGTTGGAGAGATGTTTTATCCTGTTTAACATTTCATCGCAGCAAGATTTTCGCCAAAGGTTGTCATAATAATTCCCAAGAAGTTTTGTCAAGAATTTTGCTGGTGGATGTGCGCCGAATTCTGGTATGGTATATGAAATCAGTGCCACGCAGCCGTTCGATTTTAGCACCCGGTAAGCTTCAGCATAGAACTTGTCCATATCAATCCAGTGGGCGGCCTGAACACAGGTAACTAGCTCCACAGACTGGTCAGCTATTGGAAAACATTCGCCTGAACCCGTTTTGTATGTGATATTCTTTCTCTGATTCCCTTTGATTGCTTCTGAAATCTGATTAGAGCTGATGTCTATACCCGTCACTTGTTTAAAGTGAGGGGCCAGAAGCTGTGTGAACTGACCTGAGCCACAACCGACATCTATGGCATGGTCATATGGTGCTGGATGTCTCTCCTGAAGATATGTTAAGACCCTATCCGTGATGTCCGCTGTCCATACAGACCGGAATTTAGCGTACACAGAGGAATGTTCTGCACCCTCGAATAGTCTGAATGCCATTATATATATTTATATCAGTAAACGAATCTACATGTGCACCTTGCTGTTTAATAATGGGATATGCACACAAAATGATTTTGGTTACAAACAGACTTGGACAAATTCGTACGTGTTTTGAATAATACAGGGGAGTGAAAATAAATTGCACCATATCTGTGAATAGGGCGCTTTGTGACATGGGCGAAACGTTCGTAAAAAGTTGTTCGCAGTTTATTGCTCGTCTGACAGATTTTAGCCATGTGAACTATAAAGGTTGCAAAAGAATGTGTAACGCCTTTCTGGCTGTCAATTTTCTACCATGGTGAAGGTACGGGAGCTTACAAATGAAGGAAGAAAAGAAATTATTTTATTGAGGGAGGAGGGTTTTCATGTTCCCCAGATACCTGCCCGATATGGTGTGTCTGGTCAGCCCGTATACAAGGTTTACAGAAGGATGGAGAGCACTGGTGATATCCTTAAGTCAACAAAAAGTGGCCTTTAAACGAATTTTGGCTGATCGAGTGATTCATTGTCGTTATTGAGTCGTGTAAGAAAAAAGTAGATTTTCCCCTTTTACAGGAAATCTACGTCTGCTACATATGTAACTTTAAGACTGAGTGAGGGTCCAGAAGCTGTGTGAACTGACCTGAACCACAACCGACATCTATGACATGGTCATATGGTGCTGGCAACCTCTCCTGGAGATATGTTAAAACTCTATCTAACTCCGCTGTCCATACAGACCGGAATTTAGCGTACACAGGGGTGTTTCATGCACCTTCATATAGTCTGAACAGTGTGAATGCCATATTAGTCTATACTTTGCTGTTTTGCAGTTTTTGTAATACGGGCTGTGTGCACTCAAAATGTAACAGTCAGAGTTACACAATTCTTCTAAGACCTGCCTTTATGTTTTGGAGGATAGATGAATATTCAGTCCGAATTCCCTGGCATTTACATAAATGTAATTTTACCGATGAAGTAACCTTTGATTTGGGAGAAATAGCAAAATCGTATTTTATATCTCTCCTTACCTACACACCCACAAACACCGCCTCAACGTCATTTTTATGACACTATTGAATAATTCAAATCCATGCCAGCGATAAGTCTAAAAAGCCTTGGTTCCGATTTTTATCACTAATAAAGCAAAAATAATCCCTCTATTTAATGAAAAATTGTAATAATGGGGTTTAATTCCATGACAAAATATTTAAAGCACATAGACGGCACGGGGTTGTATTCCATGCCACCCAGGGATAAAATCATATTCAGTTAGAAGTTAGGTTCCATACCGATTGCTTTCTCACCTCAAATAGAAAACTGAAGATAAGAGATAAATAGATGTTAAACGCTCCGAGGTCCTGCATGGTTTTTGGATTATAACAGCCACTAAAATCGTTTCCAAGCAACCCTGTTAAGGGAATGTTTATCAAGTAATATCTGTAAATCTGATCAGCTGAAAACTTTAGATTTTGAATTGCAAGAAATTAGCATTTTATTTGATCCTATTGATTTTATTGACGACACCAAAATGAGGTACAGTTACATACTTGTCTCTGTCTGTATTGAAAAAGTTCAATAAGCAACGAGATAAAGCTAACTGACTAAATTTATTTGCGGTATTTTTGTAATTATGCAAAGAATTTTAGGGCAAAATTTTAATTATATTTCTTTAGTTATCGATGATGCAGCTTCCACTGCCAAATTCAAACACGTTGATATAACCGCATCGTGCCACGTGGTTCTTAGAGCTATAAGGGGCCTGCCCTCCTGCTGATCCGCCGCATGATGTCACTTGATTGATGTCAGCTTCCCAGAAACCGCCGCTGCCATCAGAGAGATAACTCTTTATGTCGAACCAACCTCCCTCTGTCTTAGAGCAATCCATATTAATGTCAAGCATCCAATAGTGTTCGCCAAACCTACAGGTACAGAAACCGGATAGTAAGAAAGAGGGTTTTCCTTGTCCGAGTTACCTCTTACTGCCCTTATCCACTACTATTAGAATATCACAAAATACCACCCTTTCCACACGGAGCGCTACAGTTTTTGTTTCTACTGCACCAATTGGACTGGTCTTAACGTGCACAAGTTTCAACGTACCAATCTAACTGCAAATAATACCACAGTGTTTACCCGTTATCTTAGATCAAGTATACTATTACTGTTAGAATATCAAAAAAATACTCGGGAATTCTACTAAATACTGACCTATTCTCAGGGAAATATCCGTCCTCTCCCTGAATGTTCGTTGTCCAGACAGTTGGCGATCCACTGGCCGTCTTACTACCGAAGGTACCCTGGCCCTGCTCGGGACCGTACCAGTCCAGGCGGCTGTCACCTCCCCGCCAAGCGTTAAACTTCTCGAGATGGTCAGTGTCTCCTAGATCATTGTACGCGATTGGGATGGCACAAGCACTGGTAGCTGCATCCTGAGAACAACCTGTAAGAAACGATTTATGCACGGTTTCACCTCTATACTACGGAATTTTTGTTTGCCTGTCTTGCCACATGTGGTAAAAGGCGATGACGATTTGCAGTCTAATAGATAAATCTTATACCGAAACCATTATGAAGATTCTGGGCTTTGTGCAGAAATAGTTAATGAAAATGTACACTACCATAGATGCTGGTTATTTGTGTTGGCCACTAACACGTTAAACAAAACGTGATAATGTGTACAAAAACCAAAGCACCGATTCTTACCTGTTCGGTGAGCATGACTGATGCCTCCTCTTACAAACAAATCTTGTCCGTATTGGGTTTGTTTTTTGATAAACACTACCGTTCTTGCCCATCCTTCTCCCGGGGTGGGTGCGGGTGCCGGGGGTTGCGTTTCTCTGCCCTCGTTTCCACCATTTTCGCCAATTTTGGCACCTTTTGTTGAGTTTAGATTGTTTAGATTCGTATTAGTTTTCCATATAAAAAACAATACAAGAATTTAAAATAGTTAAAACAGGTAGGCAATACATACTTTTTACTTTTCGGTTCCTGTCTGAAAACTTACCAACGTGAATTGCAATAAAAGGATCCTCAGCGGAATTACTAATACTGATGTGTGCAATGCCACTTCCGTCAACAGAGATGGTGTGACCCGAACAGCCACGATTCACAAAATCCCCAGAAATAACATCACAGTACAAACCAGCTGGAAGACCAGTTTGAAGGGTGGCATCCAAACCATTGCCGTCATTATTAATTGCGATAAACCCTTTGTTTCCACGCGAGAACGCAATCTGATTGTTACCGTTGTCCCACCAGTTGGAGATCTCCTCCCCGTCACATGCGTTGCGAAAAGCGACCATGTTGGCAATTTGGCGCCAGCGGTGTTCGCAGACCCATCCATTCCCACAGGTACCATCAGCGTTCACAATGACATCTTTGGTTGACCAGTCCTCATTGTGTGGAGGACCAATCCAGTAATTATGGTCTTCACCACCTACAATGTGGCGGTCCCAGTGGTAACTGCTCATCACCCTGGGAAGTCCGTACGGATGCGCCAGCATAAACGCACTGGCCATTTTGTAAGGTCGGGACTCGAAGAAAGTCACGATTGTATCCATTCCGCCGCCCCCTTCTCCCCGCTGGTTGTCATGGTTATCGATAAATACGAGAGCATCAAAAGGGTGGAGCATGCCCCAAGATTGACCAAACGTTTCCAGCCATTTGAGTTGATCGCGACCCCTAAAAGCCTTTCCCAAAAACTTGCCATATTTGAACTCTGTCACTCGTCCCATCGATTTATATTCAGAACCTTTGATTGGTTCCCCACCAAGATCTATAACTTCGTGAAAAACAAACGGCTGCTTCCCTGACGAAAACCACTGCGTATTAAGATTGTTCAGCCGACCCAAAATGCCAGCAAGATCTCCTGGCCACATGTGCTTGGCTGCATCAATACGAAATCCCGCCACGCCGAGACCAATCAAGTCATTAAGATAATCAGCAACTTTACCACGGACATAATCTTTACCGAGCGCCAAGTCAGGCATACCAAGCAGCCGACAATTGCGGACTTGGTTTGCGTCTCCGTAGTTTTCTATGTTCCCGCTGCTAGTGGAACATTCTGCCGGTCCGTTGAAGTCATTCGGGCCAAACGGAACCCCCGGGTAGCTGAGTGAACCAGAGTCGTAGCTTGAACCACCATAACCAGTTCCAATTCCTGCTGCTGCCATGTGATTTACAACGATGTCTGCGTAGACTCTGAAGAAAATGAAAGCTATGGGTTTATTGTAAACGTAAAGATTGTTATAGCCAAAATACTTGAATGTATTCCTTCTAACTTAAAGAACGTGCTGTAGATGCAAAATCGAGCAAATTAATAACAAGGCATTCGATTGTCGAACATACAGTTGGAAAGTCACTAATTGCATGCAGTCTATTATATCTCTTGATGAAAACAAGTCCTTTAACAAACTCACTTACCTAACGCCGACATTATTACATCTTGAAACCATGTCGGCGAATGCTGCCCGATTTCCGCTGCGGCTGTTGAGCTGGTAGCTAACCGGCTGATACCGCTGCCACCACGGATGACTCGGGTTGGTGGACACGATGTGCTCACTGGGAGGTGATAGCTGAAGAAAGAATTAAAGGAGTCATTCTGGTGCGAAGTTGGATATTACTTTGGAGCAGGTGCACAAAATAGACGTGCACACTTTTTAAGGGAAACGTGTCGAGAATACATGCGCGACTATATGTGACGATCATGCAGACATCTTTTCAAAGTGACTACACAGTGGTTGTGCCATGTTATGTCACACATGTATACATCTAAGTTTCTAAAGACTTAACCAGCAGGATGAAAGTGATACACTTAAGCTCCAAGGTACGATATACTAGCATGGTTATTGAAGCTAGAAAGATTTGCAGATTTTCGGATTGTCTTTTTCTTTTAGGGCATTGTTTTGTTTTTTCATGGCGCGCACAGCATAAGAAAACATAAGAAA